CGAATTATAATGCTCGCCGTTGACAGTGACTGGCCAACGTCGTTCTCAAAGGAATATGGACTGATGACGCCGCCAGCCCAAAATACACACCAAGCAGTGACTTTTCCGGATGCACTAGACACTCTTGGATCTTATGTGCATTGGTATCGTCCCAAATTCAACAACTTTGTTCACGTCATTCATCGCTGGAAATGATTTTTCGATGAAAATTAGGGTTGTTGCCAACTGTTCCAGAACCCATTCATAGAACACACGTCGTTGTCTATGGTCGTTTACCTTCAGTTCCTGGCTCAGTTGAATTTTGTATGGGTACAAGCACAAGTCACGACGCAAAATTTGCCAAGTTGTGGTCTGCGAAAGGCAGAGTTCTTGGGAGCGACGCGAAATCGACTGCCTCGGATTCCTCTGCACACTCTCATAGACATCGGCGATGTTTACGGCAGATCTTGCGTTTCGTCGACGTACGGGTGTTGGTTATTCGTTTACTGAACCAGTGAGTTCAAATTAATCCACCACATTGCGAATAGTCCTCTCGATAGGACGATTATGGCGATCGTAAACTGGGCGAAGCGCGCAGTACGTTGCCCAAACAGAACACCTATTTTGATAAAACAATTTTATTATTTGTACGTGTTGTTGAGTGCTACTTCCGTCCATGATGATTTGGAAAAGCAGACTGAATAATTGACAACTGATTTGATACACGTAGCCTCAACAAAATGGCCGTTATCAATTGTCAAAGTTTGGAAGTATCTGATGGAAGACTCAATNTGTTTTCCTTCTAGGAGATATATACGTATAATAAAATAAACATTCCGAAATGAAATCTCGAGAAATTAATCTTTTCCAACGTTTCAGCATAGTAGGATTAAATTCCTGCCGGAAAACAACTACTTCTGTGACTAAAACCACAATGGACATCCAACCGGATATCCAACCGATATTCCTGCAAGTTACTTCACAGAGGATAGTCTTGTATATGCTTCTCGATCATTTAGTAGCAGGACGATGCTGAAATCAATCGAGTAGATCAACTAAACACTGATTTAGAGCTATAACATCTCATCAATACAGGAAAGATTCGACCCAAACAGCAGTTTGCCTGGGATTCGACTGACTTTGTTCTGGGTCTTTGTTCATGAGACAAAGTTATTACTAGTTAATAAGTCTTTCTTTCAGAGAAAGGTTTGATGCATGCAGTCGAGCCGGGTGGAGGTCAGTCGAATCCCAAGCACACTGCTATTTGGGTCGGAGTTTTCCTGCACTGATGAGAGGAAGTACCTCGAAACCAGTCTGTAGGTAAGCTACTCGACTGATTTCAGAGTGGTCCTGCTGCTGGATGAGCGAGAAGTATCTGCAAGAGAATCCTAAATTTTCTTAACAAAAATCATATTCTTTGCTCCAATCAATATGGCTTTCAAGCCTCTAAGAGCACAAATGATGCAATTTTTGCTTTTTTTAGAAGAACTTTACCTTCGACTGAATGTTGGTGAGGTTGTAGTGGCAGTATTTTGTTATCTGACAAGAGCATTCGACTGTGTTGATCACAAAATATTGCTTCAAAAACATAAAAGTTATGGATTTAGAGGAAACATCTTGTTGTGGTTTGAGTCATATCTATCAGATCGCGTTCAAATAGTGAACAACTTATAATTGCAACTTATAAATTTTTTTATCATAGACCATTATCATAGACTTTTTGAAGTGTCCTTGAGCCATATGTTTCAGATTGTTTTATATCTTAAGCTTGCTTTGTCAACAAAACCTAAACTTTTATGACAATGAAGCATTTCTGACTCTGACTCTGACTCTGATATCTCCTAAGACATAGATATTAGTTGGAGATAATTCAATATCCATCGTGATATTAGTCGAGAAAGTAGTTGTTTCCCGGCAGGAATTTTTCAGATCCTACTTCGAAATATTTATTTTTTTCTACGTATGTATCTCTCCTCGATACAGTCATCAGGCTTATTTAATTTTTGTTAGATTCTAATAGTTATCGACCAATACAAGGACTGCCACGCGACTGATGGATTTAAACCATGAATGAGTTTGTAATTAAAGAGTACATGCACGTCTGTTTTTGTTAAAATCTAGTGAAAGTGTGCACTGAGACGTTCTCTGGTGTATACAAATTACCTCCGGGAAAGTTTAAACGTGTTGAGTCGATTATAATTGGTATAATTTCCGAGATTTCTTGCATTAGTGAGAAAATGTTCCGGCTACGGTTTATGTTAATGAAATCTCGGGTCAATGATTCCTTCTGTAGCTCTTAATGAAATTTTTTTTTCTAGTTTTTCTGAATTTGATCCATGTTTTTATAAATGTGTTTGAAAATTACCTCTAAAACATTTTCGGCATTAAATCAATATTAATTTTTTTTTATTTGAACATACACAATTATTTGATGTTCTTAATGACGAATATAAATCGATTATGAATATAGATTTTCTCAGATAAGCAATCAGATATAATTTTATCTTTGTCGTTTGTTTCGATGTATGTTGAAAATTGGCTCAACTATTTCTGTTGAGTCGTAAATCACCATCGAATATGAAAATTTGCAAGTCAGGCCAGATTGAAGATACCTACTTTCTCATGAAATCCTGCCAACTGAGAAACTATAAGACTAACTACACTATTTTCTATCATCCAGAGGTGTCTTAAGCAAGGTGATTTTTTCAATAATCCTTTCAATGGCTCATTCTTTGGTCTTTAAAATGCATAATGCAGGAAGGAAGTATCAAACTAATCAGGTAAGGAGCTAGAAGATGGAAAGTTATTCCATTAGACGATAAAATATATAATGACAGAATACATTTCGAAAATTAGCATTTTTTGAATACCCAACAAATGTTTTTATTCGGAGATCCCTACAGATTTCCGGCCTAGATTGAATTTTCGGTTTCAAAGACAAATGAAGAAATGTAAGGGTGAAACTTTGACATGTGTCATTCCGTATCTCAATTTACTTATTGATTGGATTGACATATTCATAACCAAGAAGAAGTATCGTGTTTCTTGTTCATGGCCTTGGCCATAAATCAGCGCCCAAATCAAACCATTCGTGATCTGACACCAGACAGTTCTTGCATTCATGGACTGGCATTCAAAGGCTCAACTGTTCCTGATGATAGTAGTCCTTTACGGATTGTATCATATGCTGAAATGTTATCCTGCGTATACATTTATTCATTTTCGAGGCTATCAAGACGCTTCAACAAGATCTCACTTGAGATATTCATGTGCTCTGCTTTATGGCTGAACTGCCACCAAGCAGAGGACATGACTATGGCAAGTGAAATATTACGAAATGCGATTTCGATATTGAAGCCAACAGTATACAGCTGTCCAGCCTTTTGGGCATCATCAGTGCCGGGCAGGCGGTTTGTTAATGAGTCCACCAATGGCAACTTGTCAACAGAGCAAATTGAATACATGTACTCTCAAGTTTTTTTTGTGAAGCAGTCGTATGAGTTTGAGAATAATAAATGTTTTAGCAAGCTTGCTACATCAATAATCCTGGGAACAGATACGAAATTGAAAGAAGTGGAGCCAAAAATCACACCTGGGAGATATTTTATTCCACAGGCACCAAGAGAACAAACTGTGATCACACGCTTGAGAATAGGTCATACTAACTTAACAAACATATTCATGCTCTCAGGAGAACGACAACCAATATGCCAACAATGTAGGCAGAGGCTAACAGTGAAATATATCTTGCTAAATTGTGTCCAATATGATGAAGCTAGACAATAATTTGAAATACCAAATTCTCTAAAGGAATGTGTGAAAGATCATAAAGAAAATCTGGACAAAATTATAAAATTTGTGAAAGCTGTAGGGCTATACTCAAAAATTTAAACAAGTATACAAATGATGAACAAATTAATAGTAGAACGCTAATGACCTCATAGTCGACGCCTTTAAACCACAAAAAATCATCAGTGGAGTGAAAAATTTTAGGACACTCAATAATTCGTCATATCAGGTTGTGTTGAAATCATCTATGAGTCAATGATCAATTGGTTTTACGCCTTTTTCTGACCAGCACGAAAACTTAATTCTTTTGACAATTATTTCTGCGGGTCTGAACACCAAACTTACAATAACTTCAAAATATAAAATTATATCATCTGAAAAAATCAATTGAGGAAAAAACCTCTTTCATATTAGTTTCACTCAACTGTCAAAAAATATCTCAACACTGGTTTCTTGGTTGCTTTCAATTATTCAATAATATCTTTCCAGATCTCAACAAATTAATTCATTATCAATATATAATCAACTCTTCCTGATACTGCATTCACTTTCTTTAAACACCGGCATAGAAACAGATTTCGAGGTTTGTGTTACACTGTATGGCTTTCAATAGTCCAAAAAAAAATCACCTTGAAACCAGTTTCGATATGCAAAACCTGCTTATATAGTATTGCTAAGTAACTGTGACAGAAAAAACAAAAAACATTTGTTGAGCCCGTTTCCGAGCTATTAGTAATCATATATGTTAATATCAACAGTAATTGTTGTTAAGTGTTACGAATAGAAATGTAAATAATGCAAATTATCTCGTTTATTGTGGCATGGAATGAAAAATGTATTGTAATAATATCTACATTGAAAATATGAGTTCAGTATGCCGAGTAACGTAATAGATGGAATTGTTCTTACTTAATTTTTCTCTTTGACAGAGAATATTTAAAAAAAACTTGTTGTTTTCAATCGGTAGCTAGGTCCACCAGCTCATAGTGCTAGGATCAGCACTGAAAGGTAAAATCCCTTAGACTTTTAGAGGAAATACTAGTTTTCCACTTTTTAATGGACTACCTTTCTGCTGTCATAATCATTATTTCCACTTTGTATATGAGTTACCAAATATTTGGCTTATTGCTAATGGCTGATAGCCATCAACAAAGAAAACCTCAGATTACAAAAAAATGAATCCTTAATGATTACTTTCAAATCTTATTATCAAATCTCTATTCATCTTTCAGAATGGAAATTGGAGCATTTCTGCTGGTAGTGTCATCCACTTTATTGTCTCAAATTGATGGACATGGAAGACTAATAGAACCTCCTAGTCGATCCTCTGCATGGAGATATGGTTTCAATACTCCCCATAACTACAATGACCACGAACTGTTTTGTGGTGGATTTACTAGACAGTGGGTGAAAAATGAGGGTAAATGCGGAGTTTGTGGAGACCCTTGGGATTCTAAGTGAGTTAATATTCTAATAATTTCATAGTAAATGAATATTACTGGAGTTTTTTCCCAACACCAAACCGTTATTTCAACACCTCGATCACCAAGTGATCAAAACACTCCAAAAGGAGGATGAGCACGTGAGGAAGGTCAGTTTGATCTTCCTCTTGAAGATGATCACTTGGTGATCAAAACACGTGTCGAGGTGTTAAAATAATGGTTTGGTGTTGGGAAAAAACTCCAGTAACATTCATTACTACACCAAAGGTACCAAACAGTGCATCACAAATTTTATAGTAATCAACTGAACGTTAATGTTCATTCCTACAAAAAGTGATACTTTTGAGTTGCTTTGCTCATTTTTTGACCAAACCACTATGTACAATCTTTTGAATATTTTGAAGGGTATATGTTTTCGTGTCGAAGAAAACATTGGGTGCTATCAAAAGGTCATCAAAGTAGTACCAAGAAAAATTATTCGACTATTATAACCTTTAGTTATATTAAGCAGAACTATACCTGGTATGCTATCCGAAAATATCTGTAATCTATAACTTCATAAAACAAACGATATAATCCTGAAATGTTTCCATCAAGACCTCGTATAATTAAAACAACTATTTTAACATAATGGCTTGGGTTAAGGATTCGGTTGGAAGAGTAAGTATTGATATTCAATTCGTTTCTTTTTCTATCTTCGGATAAATGGTTGATTCATTCTGAAGGTCGACAAGAACTATATTGTACTGTACTCATTTCCTAAAATGTAGGTTATCCTGGAGTAGTCTAAGATAATACCAGTACGAGTAGATGAAGCGCACGTAAATTTAGACTTTGACTTTAGCCCATTTGACCTAAGACAGACAAATTTCAGATATTTCAATTAGCTGCGGTCTTCGATATTCTGCTTTGGATTACAGGTTGTTACTTAAAACCCTCCACCTTTACTCAGTTCAAACAAGTATATACATATAAGACTTTTGAGGATGCTCGTATGGGGCAGCCGACTGATGTCTGAATAGATTTTGAAATCAATGAACGCTTCTCATTTCAGAAGGTGGTACCTGCTGAAGTACATTTTTTATTGTACGGATTACAAATAGCTGTCCAAGTTCTGAACATCTATCTTGGTATAGCAGAAATTGAATTTATCGGCTAGTTAGATACCTGAATTTGGACAAATTTTGTAAAAGACGGTGATTTGAACTCATGTTGACTTCACTACCTCCTCCATGCTGCATAGCTGTTTCAGCCTATTGGGCATCGTCAGTACCGGGCAGGCGGTCCTCGATTGAAGACAAAATGAGAAAAACCAAGAAAGTACTAAAAATAGCTGCGTAAACGCAAGCGAGACATAAGTGAAACCACCTATTGGTATGACACCCAAGTCAACTTGCCAAGTTTTTTTATGTCAGTGTCAACTGCTACCGCAGTTGTCGGTTGATTGGTCAAACCACCAACAAAGCTATAATTAGGTATATTTTCGTTAGAAGTGAATGTGTTATGGATTTTTATCAAGTATATAGGTCAACTTCATCACATAAAATCCACTTTGGAACCCTTGAACATGCAATAAAATAAAACGATAAATGAACTCACAACTTCCTAGAACCAACAACTGAATTATTCAAACCTATAGAAATTAACTGGAGATTGATTTATTGTTCAAAACAAAGATAAGTATTTTCATTCATTTGACAAAACACAAATATAATGTCAATTCTGATTAGCATGACCACTTCACCAGAAAATGGAACCATTTTAATACCTTCTAAATACGCAGTTAGGTTGGTGAAATTTCATTGTGCTTAACTGAAATAACAATTTTTAATAGTCTACCGAATAGATGAAAAACATTATTTCTGCTACTAAATTCAAGAAAACTGTCACAAAGTATTTTTGTCCATCGAATATAATGATGAAAATGAAAATTTTTGAATTTCAACTTGTTCTACTGAGTATTAATTTATAATTTTTTTTTCTCTTTGTTTCATAATATATGTTTTATCTATGAAGATTTATGTTTTTTGCGATTATTGAATTCATTATGTTAATTTATGAATGCACTAAAATGAAATCTGGATATTTTCAGGATCCCAAGAGCTAATGAATATGGTGGAACCTATGGAAAAGGCATTATAGTCAGGAAATATCCAACTGGAAATGCCATCACCATACGTGTAGAACTAACAGCCTTCCACTATGGATATTTCGAATTCTCTATATGCCCGAACTATCAAAACACCACGCAGGAGTGTTTAGATCAAAATATCCTCCAATTGGCGAAACCGCAGGATAATGTAGAACATAAAGGGGTGAGGTATTTCCCCAAGGACGGGAATAAAGTCTACGAAATGAAGTACAGATTACCAAAGAAAAGCTGTGAACATTGTGTTATGCAGTGGAGGTATGTTGCGGGTGAGTAGTCGACTTTTGAAACTAAGTTTACGATCAAATTGCATTTCAAATTATGTTCAATCAGAGGCTAGTATCAAATCTAACGCTTTGAGAAGCTCAAACTGTTTGAGTAGAGCCTAGTTTCGTCAAATAGAAAATTTGCCGTTGTACTTGCCTATATTTAGTTATTTGTTCTAATTATTTGTTACGCAATTCCACTATTCTTCTGCTTTCCTTAACTGCTTGACGTTTGTTCATTATTCTAAATCTAAATGCTAGTTTCTTCATCCAATTCTGAAGAGTTTTGTTTCAGCAGCTCACGTTATGGCCGGAAGTATTCAATTTCTTCCTTATGATTTCTTTCACTTGTAGGAATCTCATTGCTTTTGTAACAGTCGTATATTGTTTTTTTAAATGACTTTATTAGATGAATGTCGCGTCTTGCGTTCATAAGGTTTGTTTTTAAGTATTCTACGTACAGTTGAGAAAGGAATTTCGGTAAAATCAGATGTTGCTTGTAATAGTTTGTTTTCCTTGAAACCAAACTTGAGATGTAGATTCTTATATTCATTGAAACATACTCTCTGTGTTTCAATATTCAAATGCATCCGAATTTTATTCACTGGTATCTCTTTTTCGCATTGTTCACCATCGCTATTGGAATCACTACACTGGAAAAAGTCTGCGTTGTTATCACACTCGTTATTACTATTAGTACTTGTCCAAGGAAGCCACATTTTAAACAAATAACAAAAATTTCAATAATAACTGCACCAATATCGAATTTCAACACTTAAATCGCGATCAGTTCCGCAACTGAACATTGATGGCACGACGGCGATAACCATCCCCGCATTCCCCGATTTCTATTCGTTACCGTAACATGACTTCAAATTTAATTTTTACTCTTCGGCCAATCATAAAACTCGGTCAGAAAAAATTATCCAATACAAACCGCCAATTCCACAGTCCACGTGGACTAGTTCGCAGCCGGTTCATATCTATGTATTGTTTTTTTTGGCTTTCGAGAGTGCCGCCATCTTTAAGTGTGCACAATATCGTTTACTTCGACTATACCGGCCGGTACCGCGGCAACCGCTATGTCCCTGCATTGCATCGTCAAAAATATTCATATAAAGTACATGCTGTGTAGGGCCTCATTGATCTATATTGAATGCACAATGTATTCAAGGTACTTAATTGGATAAGGAAATGATGTTGTATTGCTTAAAATCGCTTCGTAAATAAGCTATTATTTTCCGTGAAAAGTAAAGGATGAAAAATGATTATTGTGGGTTATCCCTAAGAGGTAGACATATACCATCGCGGACTTTTTTGTAGACCTTCTTTAAGGTGTACAATACTTTACTACACTATTTTGATCCATGTCGTAAGGTTCAGCCAAGGTTTGCAATGAAAACGCAAAAAAATGTTTATTTACGACATCACGTTAGAAACCTCTAAAATTATCAGTGTTTCTCTACTATATTATGCATGTTATATACTTACAAACATTCCTCTTCAATCACTATATCTGTTAAAAAATCCGCATCAAAATCCGTTGCGTAGTTTTTAAAGATCTAAGCATACAGGGACAGACAGCGGGAAGCGCTATGCATTGATATTCTAATCTTCGGAAATATAAGTGCTATTTTATTAATTGAAAGATAGCGTAAATTGATTGAATAATCTACACAGAAAATCTTCTATATCGATACCATTGTTCATATGCTTCAGAACTCACAGAAATGAGAAAGTATTTCATCATATGAAATCAATTTACTTAGGACTGTTACGTAACATAAATTGACTAGTATTGAGTTATTTTTCAGTTATTTGGAATGAGTTAATTGAGATCACAGCCATATGGCACTCGTAGAGTATTTTTTCCTGTCCTAGTGCAGTAATTTTTGAAGTGAAACTTTTTTTACGCACGCTTGACTTGGGGACTAAGCTGGCGAATGCGTGACAGGAGCGTTACGAAAAGTGTGATCGGGTGAAGCGAACGGAAGTTGAGAGCGAGGTATAAGTTAGTGAAGATATAAAGAGAGAGAGTTACGTTCCGTATATTACTATAGGGGCAAGAAAGCTAGAGGTGCGAGCACACATTTATGATTTAGTAACTCTGAAGAATTAGGATAAAACTATCATACGTTACCATGCCGTTTTAGCAGGAGATGTCAATGTTAATTTCGCGTTCAAAGATGAACAACTCCTGGTCATTTTCTACAAGATGAATTAGAACTACAAATGAATAATAACCGGAAAGAGCCTACCACAAAACATCGAACAACAATCGGATGCAGTTTTCTTCAGGTGTCTTTCTGATTTTTATTCGAAATCATATGTATCTTATTTCTCATACCATTAGATCATTGTCTCGGTCTTACAATCAACCACAGTAATTACTGATGTAATGTCGAGTTGAATCTCAAAACGGATTAAGCCAGTTTGATCATCTTCATGATACAATCTTCTTCGATGCTCTGAACTTTCAAGATAATTTACATTTCTAAATTAGCGCCTGGCTTTTTATAGATGAAATCAAATAGCCTTAGTAGTGCTCCATTGTGCTCAAAACAATAATAAACTTTGTTTTCGAACCCCTTCTTGACCTTTCGGAAAACTTCATCGTGATTTGGCCGGCATGCTTTCAAGATCATCACTACCAGCAAATTGTGTTTTATAAACAATCGATTCATGATGTTCTCAATGCAAAAAATCTAAGAAAGATAGATCTGGTGACCTCGGAGTTCATTATTGCATCAATTATTTATTTCCAGGTAATAACTGGGGTAATTGTCCAAACGGAACAGGAGCCGTAGGTTGTGGGCCCCAAGAGGAATTCAGAGCTTGTGCTGATATCACTATAGCTGGAAAGTCCGATCAACCTTTGGTACCCGAACTGGAAGAACCATCCACCGCATCACCAACGGTAACAAGTACCACAGTACTGCCAACCGTTCCAATACCAGAAGAAAGCTACAGCCCTATTTCTACATTGTTCATCTCGATCGTTTCTTTTTTAGTGGTATTTTCGATTTTCTTCCTTCTCTATTTTCATTTCTACCAAATTGGTAACCAAGTTAAGAACTGGATTAAAGGACCTAAATCGAAAGCAACTCCAAGCACACCTGCTCCTCAACCCCCACCAAGGGCCAGGAGGACTAGAAGTCCTACAGGACTGGGAAGAGATGGAATGCAAGAGATTGATCTGCGAAGAGAAAGTCTGGCTTGAGGAGGAAAGTTCTCAAGCTGAATGTTTTTGATGGATTCACTGTATCATTAAAGAATTACTAGGTATTTTTGAGATATGTGAAATGTTGTCAACACGAATGAGATGCCAAACAAACATTTCTCATCATAAAAATGGAATTAGTTGATATTTGTCAATTTTTCTGAACAGTGATTCGGTCTGATTCAAAAAATGTGTGTGTGTAATTGAAACGAAATCTACTAAAAAATATTTGAACATGTACTGATTTTTTCCAGTGACTTAGTTACGTTTGATTATTCTAGTTGAACAATTAATGAATAATATTTATTCCACATTAAATATATTAGTGCAATATATCAGTATAGTTTTTTCTGACATTGACAATTTCACCATCTTCAATGCTTGTAATATATATTTATGTATACATTTACTGAAGTTTTTGCCTACACGTACCACAATTTTATAATCGCCGAATAACATCAGGATATATTATTTCATTTTCAAGGAGAATATTCGAAACAATCAACGAACTCAAATAGCAATCAGATTCACCCAACAAAGGTTGCTCACTAGTTTGTCTAGCATGTTTATACAAGAAGTGTAAAATTCAATGTTAATTTGTCTAGTTACAAAATTTAACACCGCTTGTTTATCGAATAATGGTAAATTTAGTTGTGTGGACTAATAGTTTCAGTAGAGTGGTTACAAAATTAATAACTTAAATGAAAGAAAAAGAGAGCTCAGATAGTAGTGAACTCAGCATTGAAGTCGAATTGACAGAAGTATATCATCAGTGTGTTTATTAACGAGAGGTCATATCTTCGTTTGAATTGAAGGGGTTATATTTTTAGGAGTGATTAATTTTTGGGAAAGAAAGTTTTTGGCTTTCTACTACTCCATCTTGATACAAAAAAAGATGAGGGAATCTTCCAAATAAAGGAAGGAAGTAATCAATTTGAAAATAATTAACTCTATACATGAATGTGTAGATGATGCAAAGAAACATAAGTAAATCAAAGGCAAGTGACTTATAGCGGAACATTGATGTCTACCAGTGAGGATGACAATGTTCCATGTAAGTGGAACATTGTCAGTGTAAGTGCAATTTGTTACCATTCATTTAAAATAGAACTCCTGTGAATGATATCTGACTTTTATTCCATAACGAATGTTTGGAATACAAACTGAGTAGAGGAAAGGATCTCCTGTATAGTTCAGTGTTCATGTAAAAGTATTTGTTTCGAAATATTTTTTTTCCTTTCATACAATTCAATGTTTATATGAAAGTAGCTGTTTCAGGAGGGCTTTCTTCCAGTTTGTGTCTGAAAGTTGCTTCTTTCCAAGATCTACACATCCATGTCTAGATTTATTTGTTTTCAAATTGATTACTTCCTTCCTTTCTTTGGAAGATTCTCACATTTTTTTGTATCAAGATGGAGTAGTAGAAAGCCATAAACTTTCTTTTCCAAAAACGTCATATCTTCATTCTGGTGTGATTTGACTAACGTTAAATGATCGGTGAGTTAACGAATTCATTAACAGAGTGAAACGAGCTTTGATTCAAACAATTGGTGGGAGGTAGCCTGGTGGGTTGGCGTGGGTGGTTTGCTCCACTAACTGAATCAACCGCTGTGTGAAACGGTGGTGCGTACCGCAAGGCCAAACGATTGATTTTCACTATCGTCCAACCCGTGTTAGGAATCACACGTTAAAAGGTAAGATCTCGTTAGTCCTTAACTCGCGCAAGTTTCGACTATTGAGAGTTGTTCGTAGGGGAGGCGACAACTGATTGAGAAAAAAACACATTTTTTAATAGATTTAAACTTTTAGGTTTGTATGGAGGTGCATTTCTTCATTTTGAAGGGATCTTGTTTTGAAAGGATATATTCAAAGTTACATGCTGATGTATTGAGTTTAAAAAGGGGGTTTGTGCTAATCTTCAGAGATAGAAGCATAACTATGGTGGTGAAACTTCTTTTCAATCCTGCAAGATGGGTGATATTGGACTCCATCCACAATCCTTATAGCTTTTTTCTCTAACATAAATATTCTTAACGACTGGGTGGCGGTACTCGATAATGTAACTTCATAGTATAGGTGGTAATGAAATAAAGAGATATAATAATTTATAATTAAGTATGTTGACACTCAATATTTTCTTGAGTCTTCGTAATAGAAATAGTCGGCTTAATAATTTCCCACGCAAAAAATGAGTATGTCCGCACCAGTTCAGGTCCTCATCTAAAATACTTTTAAGGACTTTCTCGATCATACCGTTTCAACATCCACTATTTTTTGAATTGTAAGTGAATGAGAAAAATATAGATGGATTCAAGATGGATTGAAACACCATGGAGTTTCAACCGAATCGCTTGTGTTTCATCAAAATCTCTCGACGTGAGAAATAAGATTGATCCAACTTTGTACACATGTCGATAGATAGAACAAGAATCGTTTCAAAATGCAAAAGACTGTGTTTTATGTTCTCCAAATAAATCATTCAAAAATAATCGTTATACTTTTTCAATCTAAAATAGATGACTTTTTCCAATATCTGTAAAAGAGTTGAAGACTGTTAAATCTATTGAATTATGTTCAATAAGTTTTATAAATAAATTATTCGAATTTGAATTAGAAATTCAACCTTCGTCCTTGCAGTCAAAGCATATACCACTCAAGATGTCTGACGCAGTAGCAGACGAAACGTTTGGTACTACATGTTCCATTCATTTTTATTACATTTAATATATTACACAATATCTGTTATGTTGAAGAATCAGTAGGTTTTATGATAAAAATAATATTCATTTTCTGGTACTTTCCACAAAAACAATCTCAACAATTTAAACTTTTTTTCTGAAAGTCATCAACATTCAGAAAATTGACAAATTAAGTGTGCATTCTTACAGTTTTATTGATGAATGACGTTCTATTTGATTTAAAAATATCCATTATTCTGAGGGCATACTGTAATTTTAATTGAATGCAACCCAATTTTTTAAAGTGAATGGTACCAGAAAACATTTCACTCGTATGGCAAGAATTGAATCAAAGTTTCCATCGTATTATTACTATTATTAGAAATACCATAGCAAAAATCCCTAAACTTCACCTATACAAATCAAAATTGTTGAAGGGGCTTCTGGTCGTCTGGAAGTTTAGATAAAATACTTCTATTCAGTCAATATTAGGTGTTCCTGATCTGATTGTACATCTGTCAGCAGAAAAGGACACCCTACTAGTAAAAAAGTTCATCTATAATTCTATTGAATCAGTTAGTCATACAAGACTTAACCCAGTCCATGAATTTGGCTACATCGCAAAAAACTGCATATTTATCCTGATAATCACAGGTTCCATTTTTTCCAGATGAAAGGGATGCTATTCCTCGTAAATAGTAAACACCATCTATGGGGAGGACTAATCCAGCTCCACTATCGCCAATACAGGGGCCGCTACCTTTTCCTCCTAAAAATGAGAAAAACATAGATCGAGTCGGCAATAATATAACATAATAGTTGAAATGGTTCATTTTCAAATAAGAACTCCTATTTCAGATACAGGCAGACAGTAGGTCATGATATTTTCGGCCATCTTATCTTTACTTATCAAACCAACATAATGAACATAATTTTGAATACAAAGTTCCAACAGAATCCATTGGCAGATTTCATATAATAGTTTTCATTGTGCAAAGTTAGTTGACCTACGGTTGTCCAAAGAGACCAAAGAGTTTCGCTTCCTTAAAGTTTTCCTTAAAGACTTCAGCAATACTTCAGTTACCTTCTTGCTTCTCTAGATAATAATAGACATCACTCTTTCGATCAAAAACTAAATCTCAGCAAAGACAAGCTCATCAATAGAACGACAAAAAACTCAAATTCCGCTCATTGAAACAAGAAAGCGACCAATTAGTGGCAAAGCCATACTGTGATATGACCACCAAGTGAGAAATGTTTTTCCATCTCTTTCTGCATTTTTACTGCAACTGAGAAACTAGATGTAATCAGATCTCAATAGCGTCAATCACATAAAGTACTGGTTCGATCGACTTTGATTCTCATTCTGATTCCTAACTTTCGAAAGCATCCAAAAGTCTAGTGTTACGTATCGATTTTAACAATTCAGCAAATTTCGACATTGTTCATTCAACCAAGGCAGTTCTTCGATGTTTTCCATTTTCACTACCTTGTGTGTTGATAAAGACTAGTTCTGTCTCTCTGTAGCTGTAGAGTAGGGAGGGTGAGTGTAGTGGCCCACAGCACTTAGGCCACATGTTACCCATTGTATCCTCCCAAGGAGTTGTCTTCCTAGTCCATCCTGTCCTTTCCAGGAACGTGGACAGGTGTCTGGGAGACATCTCCTTTTTATCGGCAGGTGTAAGCCAAGACTAGCCGAACACACACTCTCTTATTGATGATAACTCCGGACATTCGCATAGGACATGCCTGACAGTTTCATCTTCCTGTTCACACATTCTGCATAGAGGTGTGTCCACTAGCACCATATTGTGGAAATGTTTCCTTTGTTGACAGTGGCGTAGATTTTTCCTGATCATCGCCAGATATTTCCTCGGCGCCAGCTTCCCAGGGTCGCCCAAGGTAATCCTGGCAAGATTGCATCTTTTAATTTCATCCCATCTCTTTAGGGATTGAGAATGGGTGTGCCGTTTGGCTAGTTCCGCAATTGTCGATGTCATCAGGCCGTAGATGCCACTGGGCCCTAAAATTCTTAGATAAAGACTGGTTATCACCAAGGTTACTACACATTTTCAACAACAGTAAATGGCTTACTATTTGACGCGAAATCGATTAACAACATTTTTTTAGAATAGAAACTATTCACCTTTATCAGCTTCGATACTCGGTCTCTCAGGAAATGTGATACGTACCTGCACAGAACGTCTTATCTGAAGTGATACCGTTAAAGGCTATGCTCGATAGAAGACAATCGTATTGTGACACGATGGGTATTTCAGTGTGTCTAGCTTTGATGACATGTAAGTCTCCATTTTTCTGGGCATCTTCATCTTGGCCGAAGCCAGTTATAGTGCCCATCATATTGGTAATTGGATACAAGTCAGTGTCGCCTTTCCATAGGCAAACTGGTTTCAAAACGTTGGAGAATTTGACGGGTACATCTGAAAAATCAAAAGGTTATTGGTTGTTATCACCGGTGATGATTGAAAACAATCTCATTGTTGCTTAATCTGCTCCACAATAAAAATTATATTTTGGCAAATTAAACTTGATACTATGAGAAAATATGGGGCATATTGATAGGCACAGTTTAATAAGACAGCAAATTTTTTTATTCATATGTTTCAAACAAATCGACCACTCGAACTTATTATTTAACTTTCTTCAACTTCCTATAATGTTTAAGAGGTGATTTCTGAATTTCATTGAGACTTTGATGGTAGTAGATTTCTATTAATCAGCACTTTTGCTCGTTGTATGATATTGTTGTGGCTTTGTTTACGTTCTTCGTCTACATACATATTTGTGTTCAGGTATTATTTAAATTCACATATTATATTTAGTGGGCATACTTGAAGACTGCCTGTAAATCAAATTAACTAAAAGAACAGATCAGAAAACAACTATTGCCTTGACTACTCGGATTATATCCAACTGGTGTCAGTGCAGGAGTTTTCACAAAAGTATTTCCTACATATGCTGATGATTAGTACTTGTTTACCAGATATGATAATGACAAATTTGTTGTTGTTTGTCGTTTGCTTCAGCTTGGTTTGGCAAATGATACTCTGAACGGAATTAGATTTTCAATTGCGGAATATCATCTACTTTAGGTTGCTAATGGCCCCCACCTTGCACTGATGAGAGGCCAAATAGACTGAAACCGGTCTGCAAATGTGCCCGTTCCTATAATTGAAAATCAATTCCAGCAGTTGTATCGCCAACAGCATATGAAATACTTCTGTGAAGATTCCTGCACTAACATCTGTTGGATATAATCCAACGCCCTTCGTGGTATTAGCCAGGGGAATAGAGTAGTTTTTGATAGGTGTCAGCCCATAGAATAGAATAGGATAGAACTCCATTGGCCACGTTACATATCCATACAATACATTTGTAGCAAGTCAGTGTTCCACCTTTCGGAAGAAGATTTGAAGTAATAGATTGTAAATAGAAACATCACACATACATATGAATATACATATACCTACATAGGCTCATCCTACACGACTAATAGTAAAAATACAAGTATAAAAAAGTAAATACTATAAAATTGTCTAAAGTCACACTGAACCTCATTATCATGTGGAATTGTCGTTCCAAGGAGCTTTGAGAAATTCATTGATTGAATAAAAACAATATTTTAATAATATTACATTGCATTTTCTCTTGAAGGAAGTTGTTTCAAACTAGCTGGTAACTTGTTGTATAAATGCAGTTTAGGTGAGTTATTCCTGGACACGTCAAGACGATAAACATGTATTTTGAACAGATTCGCTGATCTAGTATTATGATTATGAGATTCGGATGCGTTCGAATAACAATGTTTGTTTTTGTGAATATCTATCACGGCATAATAAACAAACAGGGAAGGTAGAGGCAAGATGCCATATTTTTCGAAAATTGGCTTGCAGTGAGCACCAACGAATATTCTGGTAGTCTTTTTCTGTAGAGCGAATATTTTTAGAGCGTAGCTCGATTTTCCTCACAGAAGAATCCCATACGTGATCTGAGAATGTATCCTTTTTAGTTGTTGCATTAGATAAATATAGCTCAATACTTTCTTAGTAAGTTGTTCGATGTACCTGGACCAGTTCAGTTCATCATTCAAAATAACTTCAAGCAATGTGACCTCATTACCTGCCGTAACGTTATGATTTGTTGAAATAACGATATTTTGAGTTTTTATCTATTTAATTTTAAACTATTGGCATTATACCACACCTCCGCTTGATTTTCTGCCTGTTCAATAGTAATCTCCAAGTTTTCAGTGTTTTTATCCGCGTTTATGAGTGTTGCTCATCAGGAAACATAACTATATTATTTGGAAATGAATGAAAAAACAGATCATTGATGTAGCTGATAAACAAAAGTGGTCCAAGAACTGACCCTTGTGGTACACCGTGTGTAACTGGCTTGGAACTAGAATATCTGTTGTTTAAAATACCCTCTGCTCCCTGTTCGTGAGATACCTTCCAAAAAATTTAAGCGGTAGTCCTCTTATACCATAATGCGATAATTTTTTCAACAAGAAAACATAGGATACACAGTCGAAGGCCTTGCTTAAATCACACAGCGTGATAGCAGTATGCTTGCTTTCCTCAAGGCCTTCGACAATATTTTCCACAATTTTACATATCGCATCTATTGTGGAGCATTGCTCCTGAATCAAAATTGATTTCTGTGCAATGGACCGTATTTTTTGAAATACTTTGTCAGCTTGATCTTAATTGGTTTCTCTATTATTTTAGATAAAACTGGAATTATTGAAATTGGCCTATAATTACCAGGGGTTGACCTTTGACCTTTTTTGAAAATAGGAATAACTTTTAAGAATTTGAGAATATCTGGAAAAACTTCTTCCCTAAAACACACATTGATAATTCCTGTCAAGAGTTCTATCAAAAAGTGCATTGTCTCCTTTATGATGTGACTGTTTAGATCGTGAATGTCGTCAGTATGTGTATTTTTTAAAGATTTGATTGTTTCAGCCACCTCTCCGGTTGTGACAGGATCTAAGAAAAATGAAGTGTTTGTATTTGGGGTTGGGACATCTTTCAGAAACTGCGTAGCTTTGGTGTTGTTAACAGGAAGTGAATTAATCAGGTTATCTGCTACGGTGGCAAAGAAGTCAACAAATGCTTCAGCATTTATATGAACATCCCCTGATTTTTTGGATGAGGCATTCCTTTCATAATTTATAATCTTCCAACTATCCCTAGCCTTGTTTTCCGAGCTTGCAATGAAATTGTTATATGCATTTTTTTGGTTTATTTAATAGTGTTCCTGTAATTAAAAATGGCCTTATCAGTTTTCCTTTTACTTACGTCACATACAGTTTTCAAACTCGATAATGAACTTACAGTGTAGGTAAGTCGAGACTGGCCTGAACAAATTGTTTTTTTAGTTAATTTGATTATCTCAATTGGTCCCAGTTGTACTTACAATCATGGTCCAGGCTCACTTTAACTTTACGTGACTTAGTTTGAATGAAAGTTAGGTTTTGATAGAGGATGATTAGAATCCAAGTGAGAAAATATCATTAGTACACCACGATCCTTACCAATAAAAGAAATGAATAGTCAACAACAGAAAAATCATCTGCAGCTATGATGAAATTTCCAATTGCGTAGAACGGTCATATTAATATAGAAAAAAGTGATTTTTCTGTTTCTATAATTGTGCAGACATTCTTTTCTAGTATTCATAACGACATTTATGATTTATGACAAGTTTTAATGAATACATATTTCGTAATGAATCAGAAAACAAAGTTTTAACTTCAATAAACAAACAAACAGGGCAAGCTAAATAAAACTATTTGAAAATGGAAATAATACAAAATTCAAATTAATATTTTGGTAATTGAATAGAGATGGGCAATACATGATGAAAATCCATATTGAAACTTATTACAACAGTTTATTGTATGATTGTCACTATAAAGAGTTTTACAAAAACCGCGACACGTGTTTCGCTATACAATAGCTTTCTCAAGGCTTTATAGTGAAAATCATACATTAAACTATAGTAATGAGTTTTGATACTTCGGGGTTAGATTAAGTTTCTATTAGAGTGAGCTTGGTTTGAGCTACAAAAGTGAATCTCTTCGTATGTGGTGAAATTCCTTCTACAACTCATAATTCAATTCAAACCAAGCTTAAAACTTTAACCACATTCAAACTGAAATTGTATTATACAACTGGGCCTCAGTCATACATACCCATAGTTATGACAGATAAATCTGCATGAGCTGAATTTGGATTTTTCTTAAAATCAGGATGAGTATCTACAGTTCTAGCTTTCCTTGTGATAGCCCCATTAGAGGACCACTGTTTCAAGTCACTGGTACCCATTACCAATAAAATATCCTCCGTCTTCACCACTTGAATTTTATAGTATTGTACACAACGACCAGCTGAAAAAACATATTTCATTAGTTGGGTACAACTGATGGTACATCAAAATGTTGAGCTTTCGTTACATTATAATCAAGGATACATTCAAGCTTTCGACTCAGTGCGAAGCTTCGAGCCAAGCCCTCAGAAGAATATTTATAAAAACTCAGGTATATGTGTCTTCGGAGGGTGTCGTTCCCTTTTCAACCGCTTAAGGGTTGATTTTTGCCAAACCCCGACATTACACAGCGATACCTAAGGTTGCAAACTGGTTATCTATCTGGTGGAGAAAGAAAGAATCCACAGTTTACACCGTACCAAAAAGATCCTTTTACATTTAAGAAACAAGTTTCATTTCTGAATTTGGGAATTGCAGGAGTAGCGTACCAAGAGAAAGTTCAGTCCACTTGTCATCTCTAATGAGATAGAATTTCAAAAACTCCCGATAAAAGTGTCGGTTAATTTCTAGCAAAACGCTCAGTATCAAGTTTTATGGGTTTAACGTCAAAAATGTGAATGCGCCAAACGAACGTTCTGACCTTTTTTTTGCTCCCTTTAGGATAGATTTGGAAAACACTAGAGGTTGGTTTGTTATCTAACCAAATAGCAAAATACCGATGTTTATGATGTTAGAAACGATGAAAGTGTCGTAAGACGCTTTACCCTCTTTTTCACTTCAGGAGTGAAATTTGAGAAACCCTTCATATTCTTTGCCTTGGTTTTGTAAAGAGAATTTGTTTTGAATTTGAGCCTTCTAAGGCTGGATGTTGATGGATGAGGTATATTTTCAATATGGAAAAGAATGAGCCGAGGCGGCTCAGTTCTTATACACCCCTAATTATAATTTTTTACATATACAGGGTGATTCAAAAGTACTTTGAAAAACTTCAGGAGGTGATTCCTCACAATATTCTAATATGAATTGTCCAAATAAATAAATGTCCAAATTTCTGCTANTAAGAAACACACCAATAATTTTTGAGCGGGTACGAGATTCAATGACTAGACGACTGACTGCGTGTATCTTCGTGGACACTTCCAACAATTTATTTGAATACAATTTAGTTTCGTTTATTTTAGTTTATTCTACATATTTAAAATTTCCTAAAATAAAATGTTGACATTTCTTGCAAATTTAATTAAAACAAATACTGATTATGCACCCTTGATACAAAAATAACTATTTCGCTTGAGGATGTCATAAAGGAACGTACCCAACAGTAGTGACCTCTTCAAACGAGTAAAACGTCAAATCAATTTCCAAAGCATTCTTGTGAAAAAAGCAAAATATTCGTTATAACTTCAACATGCATCGATTATCAAATAATCGACTTGAAGTTTTCAAGTCCAAATATTTAGAAAACGGTTGCTTACAGCGACTAGTAACAAGGATAGCTTATTTACGTAGATAGATAGAATACATTTTTTTACTGAAAAATGTGCTAGAAGTACGCCCAAAAAAGTTATGAATCTTTAAAAAAAGAAAAAGACGTGTAGGTGGCGCCCCCTACGAGTAAGAGCAATAAGAACATCAGGTTCGAATTCGACACCTCAAAAACCTCCTATTACCAAGTTTCGTTTAATTAAGTTCAGTATTTCAAAAGTTATTTGAAAAAAACGAAAATAAAAATAAAACTTCAACATCCTGCATCTTGGAAACGAAGCGTTTCCGGACATTTATTTATTTGGACAATTCATATTAGAATATTGTGAGGAATCACCTCCTGAAGTTTGTCAAAGTACTTTTGAATCACCCTTTATGAATCCCAAGATGAATAGTTGTCTGGATAGTTGTAGATTAGCTTTGAAAAAACAGTGGCTAATGAATAAACTGATTTGAATATGTGTATGCAATCATACCACAAATGAGTCTTTTGTGTGGAGCAGAAGCAGAAAAAATAAACATCTGCCTATCTGGACCGTGGTGACATTTTTTTGTAGAGTAGATAACATCGTACTATTCATTTATTCAATGCTTACCTGTTATCACATGTTTCTCAGATATGAGAGTTGCTGAACACTTATATTCATAATTTCCATCTCCACTTAGAGCAAAAAGGGCCGTCAGCCAAGGATACTCGCCTTCTTCAACATTCGAACCTCCTAAGATCAGGGGTACAACCAAGCTGTTTGATATTCCACATTGGAAATCTTTGTTTGTTTTTATTGGCGCTTGGGTAACCGGGTTGAGAAATCTAAAAAATATCACTGAATCAGTGCATTTCAATGATTATAGTAACTTATATATTTGAAATTCAGAAGAACTGTTTATTCCTTTTTCGAATTTTCATCTGGTTTTCACGGATGATTCAAGAGGGAGGTTTATGTGTATGAATCATCAATATTTTGTGTCAATTGGTTGAAATATGACGATGCTATATAAATTCAAGTATCAGTTATCAGAAGGAATCAAACCCAGGTTAGTTAAAACTCTTTTTTACCCCCCTATCGAGTATTGTTGTTCGGTGTATTACGATTTTTTGCCGCAATATAACAAGCAGAAGTTACAACGTATACAAAATGCTTGCATGCGATTCGTATGCTGTATACCATATGGTGAACATGTCACACCATTTTAGTTAAAAATGAAGGAGCTGAATGTGAGGTACAGAGTCCAATATTTAATAATTTTTTTTTGTTTACGTTGCTTCAAACTGAAACACCTAGTTATTTATATAGTTTATTGAGCAGGCATTCTGACATATTTGAGAATTAGCTCATTCAACATACCTAGGCATCGTACTTCCAAATTTCAAGAATGTTTTTCTTATATAGCCCCTTCTTATCTGAATGAAATTTTTCCCCTTTCAAAGCATAATATTCATCAATTTAAGAAAGAAATAAAATCACAGGTGTTTACTGCTCAGTGCTAATTTAAAATTCAATGTATGGTAGTTCAATGAAATTGTTAAATTGACCAATATTGAGAGTTATTAGCAATTATATGATTTACTATTTTTCTCGCTCCTCTATCATTGTTATGATAGTAAATAAGTATTTTTATAAGTATTTCTATAATTATTTTCTTACACTCACTGTATAATTTTTGGGAGGTTTAGAAGATAGCCTTTGGCTAACCCTTTTCCTTTCATGTATAAATGTATTTTTTATGCATATTATTATTTTTTTCACCGTAGTGTGCGCTGGTCAGGCCCTATCCCCCGAAGCCCCGATACATTCGGGAGGGCGCGCTAGCATTATCAACCAACTACCACTTTCCACACCGTGGGGTAAGTGATCAATGGGTCCGAGAATCATGTACCCTTAGCAAGCGCAGTAAGCCAAGAATGACAGCCTTCTGCATCTGTGCGGCTAAGATTTCTGCCTTAGTGCGGTAAGCCGGTATGATTTTGAGATTCGAGAGTAGAGAGGGCACCATGCCACCAAGGACTCCAATAATCAGAACAACCATCTTGACAGAGTGGTCTGGGTAGAGTCTGCGGAGTTCGAAGAGAAAATCTCGATATTTTATCGTCTTTTCAGATGATATTTGTCTCGCCAGGAGCTGAAAACTGCATGACAAATATCATCTTGCTCTGGTGGTCGAGAAGGACTATATCAGGCTTATTAGCTTGTATGAGCCTGAGGGTGGGGAACGAATAGTTCCAATGAATTCGGAACTTCTCGTTCCCCACAACGGATATCCCCCGGAGCGTAGGACAACACCGGTGTCTCGTCAATACCGTAAGAGTGCTGCAGATGGTAATATAGCACTGTCAGGGCCGCATTATGTCGATGGATATAGGCCGAGACCGTTTATGCTGGACATGCTGATAGCAAGTGCATAAGGGTCTCGGGCGCCTCGCGGCAGGCCCTGCACCTTGTGTCAGGAACCCATCACGCGACTGCGGTAGACTAAAGTGTTGAAGACACATTATTATTATTATTATTATGCTCCACGTGCATAACCGAGGCCGTTCGCTAGTTTAATAACTATATGAAATACATTCTTATTGATCTTTCTAATATTGAATTTGTTATTTCAACATCACAAGGAAAATGAGATTATTATTTATTCAAAAAATTCTACGAGATACCTAATCTAAGAGTGAAATACATCGATACCGTCCAGGAGAGTATCATTTCCTTTATTATTACCATAAGTTTCCTTCATCTATTAGACTTTTTCTAATTTTCAACATATGTTTTTATCATCTCGTTACATATAGCTGTCAATATTCAGTTTTTTCACGGGTATCGTCTCATTTTTGGCTTTGGCGATTGCTGCCTTCTCTTGGGTTTTGCCGACCTACTTTTTACTCTATCAAGGGATCTGTTTTTTTCTATGGTATAAAGGTAAAAACTTCATTGTTTCATCTCAATGAGCTGTATTTCTTCGATCCTCTGTTTTGCTACAATTGAAACAATACTTCCCTTCCGGAGGACTTCTTTTCTTGATTGACCATGGATTCAAATTAGAGGTAACTTGTTCGAGTTCAGTGATCTTTCATACATCATTTTTTCTTCCCTGAAGTCGTCCCCCTCATTCCTTTTCACACATTTTTGTCTAAGACTCTAACGCAGCTATTGATATAGCGTTTATCCTTTGACGCCGTCTCAACATCAGAATTTGTTGCATCGCACAGACTTTCGATGAAGGTTTTTACTGCTATTCATTTTACAATTTTTTGGTTCATGGAAATAGTAAAGGTATTTTTCTGTTTAGACTTTGGTACGATTATTCGAAGTTAGATTGTTCCTATCGCATTTCCATAGCTTACACAATTATTTTTATATCCACTAAGACTCATTTCTGAATTGTTGTGTAGTATTTCTGAAGCATTAGGTCTACTCCGTTGACACTGGGTGCTGTTTCAACTTGTCGATGGTACATAACTTACGATGATTTTCCTTTCAAAGTAAGAGGATTTGAAATTTCAACTGGCGATAGTCTTGATAATCCCTTTGAAACTTAAAATAGATGTTTTTTCCTCAATAGCCTTCGTTTGCATTCATCAGTTCTTATTTCAATTTGTTCATACATTCATTAATTTCTTCCATGATCTGGTCGTTGATCTTGTTCTAACGCTTCTTCAAGTTGTTCTTTCCTAATATTCCTCTTGAAGATGATCACTTGGTAGTCGAAACACGTGCCGAAGTGTTGAAAATATCGGTTTGATGTTGGGATAAAACTCCAGTAATATTCATTACTACATCAAAGGTTCCAAACAGTGCATCACAAATTTTTCAGTGATACATGATAATGAACATTCAAACTGGAGGCGATAGGCTGCGAAACAGAAATTTGAAATTTGCTGAAAAACAATCTTTCCACGATTGCTTGTAGGGGAATAGTGCATTGGCAAGTGAAAGTTAATTTTTTCCATGGAATTGTATCCATTATAAAAAAATAATCGTAAATTACAATTTGACTTTCAGTAGAGCGTTATACTTTCATTTGTACATTTGAAATTATTATGCATAATTGGAAAAAAAGATATCGATATAAAATGAATAGTTTCTTACTCATTTTCTATCGGCCTGAGAGTATTGGGCTTGGGGTCCTTCATAGATTCTGGCTCAGCATGAGACTCTACCGATGGAATAGTAGCAATTAGGACAGGTTGCAAACTATTTGGATTCTGAGCAGGTCTTGAAAACTCGTCAGGTCTTATTATATTCGGATTTTGAACAGGTCTTGGAATCTCGACCGGTCCTATTACATTCGGATTTTGAACAGGTCTTGGAATATTCGGAATTCTGGAAGGCATTTGAAAACCTGGATCTTTCACAGGTATTTCAGCATCTGATGTACCTGAATCCTCGTTAACTTGGTTGGTGGTAGGGATGAATGGTCTTCTGGTGTATTTAAAAATGGTTGTATACCAAATATTGGTAATACCTGAAATTCCTGGTATCACTGAAAAAAAAATCGATGAAATAAAACCAAGTTTCTCAAATTCATTTTAGTACCAATTCATGTAAAATTAGTCATAGATGAGACATTCCAGAGTATTTATATGCATGGATTTTCATACTAATCGCGGTTCATTATGGTCACAGGCCCTAAAGGCGTGATTCAAATTTTCTACCACATGGAAAAGTATAACTTGGAATACACCAAATGAAGTATGAATGCTCATACCGAAGTCTTACGTAGAATACAAAGCGCTAAACTGCAGAACGCTATAAGAAGCTTCGGGTGATCTACTGGAAACCTTATTGGAAAAATATTGGCAGTTCATAAAATTTAGTGGCGTCTTCAGTTTGAGGGCTGATAGATTAAAACATTTCAGGTATTTCAAGGGGGAGAATTTTATAGTTACACGACAGCATGACTTTGAAATCATAGAGTTTGTACTGAAGAAGTAATATTTATTAGTATGGTATATAATGGAGTATGAAAAGGGTAGGTGATATAATGAGCGAGTCTCAATCGGGAAGGTTGTTATAATGTCCCAAGGGAGTTATGACCCTCTTTATTGATAGCGTAACTATGACGATATAAGCTTATAATATCCCGATCAGAAATAAAGGTATAAACTTCATTATGTCATCTCAATGAGCTGTATTTCTTCGATCCTCTGTTTTGCTACAATTGAAACAATACTTCCCTCCCGGAGGACGTCTTTTCTTGATTGACCATGGATTCAAATTAGAGGTAACTTGTTCGATTTCAGTGATTTTCCATACATCATTTTTCCTTCCCTGAAGTCGTCCTCCTCATTCCTTTTCACACATTTTTGTCTAAGACTCTAACGCAGCTATTGATATAGCGTTTATCCTTTGACACCGTCCCAACATCAGAATTTGTTGCATTGCACAGACTTTCGATAAAGGTTTTCACTGCTATTCATTTTACAATTTTTTGGTTCATAGAAATAGTAAAGATTTTTTTCTTTTTAGACTTTGATACGATTTTTCGAAGTTTGATTGTTCATATCGCATTTCTATAGCTTACACAATTATTTTTATACCCACTAAGACTAATTTCTGAATTGTTGTGTAGTATTTCTGAAGCATTAGGTCTACTCCGTTGACACTGGGTGCTATTTCAACTTGTCGATGGTATATAACCTACGAAGATTTTCCTTTCAAAGTAAGAGGATTTGGAATTTCAGCTGGCGATAGTCTTGATAATCCCTTTGAAACTTGAAATAGATGTTTTTCCCTTAAGACCCTTCGTTTGCATTCATCACTTATTTCAATTTGTTCATACATTCATTAATTTCTTCCATGATCTGGTCGTTGATCTTGTTCTAACGCTGGAACTTATAACAGAAACCTTTGGTCTAGAAACAATCCATCATAGACCCTGTCCCCATCACCAGAACTGTACCATTTTCATTTTTGTTTCTATTTTCTTCAAGTTGTTCTTTCCTAATATTCCTCTTGAAGATGATCACTTGGTGATCGAAACACGTGCCGAAGTGTTGAAAATATCGATTTGATGTTGGGATAAAACTCCAATAATATTCATTACTACATCAAAGGTTCCAAACACTGCATCACAAATTTTTCAGAGATACATGATAATGAACATTCAAAATGGAGGCGTTAGGCTGTAAAACAGAAATTTGGAGTTTGCTGAGAAAACAATCTTTCCACGGTTGCTTGTAGGGGAATAGTGCATCGGCAAGTGAAAGTTAATTTTTTCCATGGAATTGTATCCATTATGGAAAAATAATCGTAAATTACAATTTGACTTTCAGTAGAGCGTTATACTTTCATTTGTACATTTGAAATTATTATGCATAATTGGAAAAAAAGATATCGATATATAATGAATAGTTCCTTACTCATTTTCTATCGGCCTGAGAGTATTGGGCTTAGGGTCCTTCATAGATTCTGGCTCAGCATGAGAGTCTACCGACGGAATAGGAGCAATTAGGACAGGTTGCAAACTATTTGGATTCTGAGCAGGTCTTGAAAACTCGTCAGGTCTTATTATATTCGGATTTTGAACAGGTCTTGGAATCTCGACCGGTCCTATTACATTCGGATTTTGAACAGGTCTTGGAATATTCGGAATTCTGGAAGGCATTTGAAAACCTGGATCTTTCACTGGTATATCAGCATCTGATGTACCTAGATCCTCGTTAACTTGGTTTGTGGTAGGGATGAATGGTCTTCTGGTGTATTTAAAAATGGTTGTATACCAAATATTGGTAATACCTGAAATTCCTGGTATCACTGAAAAAAAAATCGATGAAGTAAAACTAAGTTTCTCAAATTCATTTTAGTACCTATTCATGTAAAATTAGTCATAGATGAGACATTCCAGAGTATTTATATGCATGGATTTTCATACTAATCGCGGTTCATTATGGTCACAGGCCCTAAAGGCGTGATTCAAATTTTCTACCACATGGAAAAGCCTAACTTGGAATACACCAAATGAAGTATGAATGCTCATACCGAAGTCTTACGTATTATAGATTTCGCTAAACTGCAGAACGCTATAAGAAGCTTCGGGTGATCTACTGGAAACCTTATTGGAAAAATATTGGCAGTTCATAAAATTTAGTGGCCTCTTCAGTTTGAGGGCTGATAGATTAAAACATTTCAGGTATTTCAAGGGGGAGAATTTTATAGTTACACGAGAGCATGACTTTAAAATCATAGAGTTTGTGCTGAAGAAGTAATATTTATTAATATGGTATATAATGGAGTATGAAAAGGGTAGGTGATATAATGAGCGGGTCTCAATCGGGAAGGTTGTTTCATAATGAATATTTTGTCGAAGAATTCTAATAACTGAACTTTCACTGGGTCACCAGTGAAATACTCCGGTACTTTATTCATTTGTCACCCTCTTGTGATGATCCAACCTATAGTCACCACTTGTAGTAACTGGATCACCCCTGTAATACTAACACAATTTAACTGTCTATCAACACTTGTAACAATAGCATTTATTCTTCGCTGTCTGTTATTAAATTGAAGAAAAATGATTTAACTGAAATCCTTTCGTGCCCTCTCTCTATTGCCGTCACCAGATGTAGATTTCTCCACATCTTTAGTTACAGCTGAGAAGGCCAGAGTTGGTGAGGCAAAGTACTGATCTACAGTTAATAAAACACCAATATCATACAGGGGTGAATCAGATAGATCAGAACCTACACAGAAATATAGGGAGTTTGAGTATGATGAAACATAAACTACGGCGATTGGCATCATTCACATGATATACATATATATAAGTGGATATCCCCAACTTCATTTCTAAGATATGATTCCACGTAATTCGCCATTGAAAGTATGAAATATAAAACAGGTACTTGTAATCACCTCCATATAAGTTAAAATTCTTGTTATATTACCATCAGGTAATTGAGATATATGAAAAACTCTCTAATCACACCCGGTAATGAACGATACGAGATGTTTTTACTGAAGACTGAAGAAATTGGTGAAAGCCCTTGGAAATGAAATGCCACTGAAATAAAGAGCAGATGAGAAATAACTTCAGAGGATACTTGGTCCTTGAAGAAAATTAAAAAGATACTGAATACGGTCTAATTGACACTTTGACGATAGGTACTACTCTCAGAATATATATATCAATCAACCATGTACTACCTCAGCCAAATGGGTAAATCTGCCATTCTAACAACTTTCAGTATCTTTAACTACGACGTTATCCTGACGAATTCATATGTTGATGAATGAAGGATACTTACAAGGTTCTGGTGGTCCTCTGCACAAAACGTTTCCATTATAGGTAATTTGTGTAATTTTTGGGATAATTTCTTGAGAGGGAAAGAAGACGTTGTAGACTACTCTTTCTGCCCTTTGAAGCTCATTCAAAGTGGTAACCAAAACTAACCTCAATTCCTGAAAAAGGGAATTTTCAATGAGTAATTCGTTGAAATTATAGTGTAATGTGTAAACGTATATGAAATATCTCCTGTAGGCGCCAACAACGCGCGTTGAAGAGAGTATTACATTTCTTGTGATTGGGGAAATGCCTCGTTTTGGATGTTTTTTGTGTTTCTTCAGTTTTCATATATTTTTTTTTCATTGGACGAAGACAATGACAAGTGTCGTACATTATTTTTGATTTTGTTTTGGCTTGTGGATAATAACCGGAGTTGCTTGCAGCTCATCTGATCTCCGGCCTTTTTCCACCATTTAATAATTTCTGTATTCTATTTCTTGTACTGTCATTTATGATAGGATATAAAAACCACCATTATTATTATTTTATTTTGTAATTGCAAATCTCTTCGATATTGTTTTGGCTTGTGGATAATAACCGGAGTTGCTTGCAGCTCATCTGATCTCCGGCCTTCTTCCACCATTTAATAATTTCTGTATTCTATTTCTTATACTGTCATTTATGATAGGATATAAAAACCACCATTATTATTATTTTATTTTGTAATTGCAAATCTCTTCGATATTGATATATTATTCCACGAAGAATATGTATGTTATTTTCTCATACCGTCTTCTACAAAATATTTGTAAGACTTCAAAAATAGAGGTGACAATGTTTTTACAATTGATCATATTGTTTTCTGGTAATTGATGTGAGCTGAAATATTTGAATGTCAACTTAATCAAAATTAAAAACTTGTTTACAACATATGATATAAGGTAAGCTATTCAAAAACCCACTTGAATTATGAATAATAATATTGTAAATTTGAACACACTAATGTTCACAGCACTTCTGATCACAGATAATTTTTTTTTAATGGCAATTCACATAACACGGAAAAAGATAAAAAAATTAATTGGAATATTGTTAAGCAAATTGTCATTCGATTACATTAATTATCGGTCGATTAATTCATGTTAATAGTTTGTTTATAATTATCTTTTACATGATTTCTAAATTGTTGAAATGAAGGTTATAATTAATGAAGTAAATTTTTAAAGTTTGACACTAATTCTTAAAAAGTTTCGACATAAGATAGCACAAAACTACGGAAGCGCAGAAGGATCACTTATTTCAATTATTTGTTTTTTAAAAATCACAACATTAAAACTCGAAATTTCGACTTTAATCTCAAAATTCAGACTTCAAACTCGAAATTTCGAGAATACGGTCGTAATTTCGAGTTTTCGAATAACGAAGTGAAAAACATTAAAAAACAATATGCACAAACTCTGTAAATGAAAAAGACAAATGAACTAAAGAATAAAATCATTGAAATGAAATACATAGAATATATACCATTTAGTACTATTGTCCAACAAATTGGAAGTATGTTTCCACAATCCACAATAAACTGAGCGCACCCCCTGGGGGAATATGCCTGGATACTTCCGATATTTTTTCAAAATTCGAATATCACACAAAAAGGTGACAAAAATTAAAATATTGATTGAGTGAAAATCGAGGCATTAACAGAATTTAAGAAAACTGTACAAGATTCCGGCATCTCACGTCATTTATATACAGGTCACAGGTCACAAAAGAAATATCATACACCTATACTTACGGCTTTTTGGAAAAGTGCTGCTAAAGATGCATTGACACTGAACTGCATTGTTGTACTTCTATCGTAAGGAATGATGGCTTCTCCGTATAGCTGACCACTTCTGTCCTTGTAATATGAGAAAATTTGTGGACAGGGATTTGGTGGAATTCTTACCGATGAAACAAGTGTGATGAATATGCATACCAGTGGGATCAAAATCTGATAATTCATTTTGAAGCGGTACTGAAAAAAAGGGTACCAATCAAAATGTATCTTCAATTTTCGTAACTATATGGGAAATGAGAAAAAAATGGAAAAAGGCGATTCAGACTTCCTTTTAATTTTCACGAGAGAGTATAAGAAGTTGAGTTTTCCTCACAGAATTATTGGTATCAGTTGGATGGTATCAATGTGCTCCTGCACATTGTACAGAGTGGACCAAATTGGACATTTTTTAAGGGAAACTCCTATTTTCAAACTAGATAGAAAAAACTGATGGGTGTGTCTGAGGGTCAAATTTTATGACAAACTTATTAGTGAAAACCGCATATCGATATCTATCATCGTTTCTGAGTTAGAGCATGTTTTTCGAAAATGTGTATTTTCTTGTTTCTATGAAAACAGTTCCAAATCACTTTTTACATATATTTCAATAGAGCTTAAAATTACCTTTCAAAAAATGTAGCACAGTTGATGTTTTGCTAGGGTCATCTATGAAATACAGAGCTTTTAGGTTATTTCATGTAGACTGAAACGCACACTTTAATCAAGAATGCAAATCTTCAGGTACTGGTAGCTGTCAAATTTTGATTTAGGCAGTGGTTTTTGTTCAATTTTCAAACACATTCGCAATGAAGTATGAGAATTATGAAAAATGGGATGTGATAGTCTGTTTTATATAAACCGGGGAAAATGCAGCAAGCAATTTGTGTCACGAGAGGTATCCAGAGGAATTACAACTTTTTAGAGACATTTTCGCAAGATTGCGACACAACCTAATTGATTGTGGTCAATTTGAAAAAAAAGGTCAAAACTATATGAATCAAATAGGGACGAGAAGTTGGGACGAATAGTCGTTATAGGAACTGTTGAAAATAATCCCAAAACTTCAACGCGAAATTTGAAATTATCAACAGGCCTACCAAGAGTTCCTCAACTCAGGTGAGATTTAACAAATCACACTGATAAATCAGGAACAGGGTCATATTTCGTGTAAATAATTTATTTATAAATTATAAAGCGCTTTCGGCTTTTAAGACATCGTCAGTGCGATACCTGCAAGTAAGTAGTAGTCGTGAAATTTGTTTGAAATTGAACTTAAAATTGTTTTACCAATCACTTACTCGTCAAGTGTATACAAGAAGATCCTGTAAAATCGAAGCACAAAACCTTGGTAAAAGACCACAATAAGAAACCCTTTGGGCCCAACGTATTAATATTTTTTTAATAATATGTTGGCTCAGAGGGTTGCTTTTTGTGATGTTCAACTTTTCGAAAATGCACATTCTCGAAAAACATGCTGAAACTCAGAAACGAAGAGAGATATCGATATGCGGTTTTGAACATTAAGTTTTTCATAAAATTTGACCCTCAGACACCGCCCTATGAAAGTTTATAATTTGGCCCACTCTGTACACATGAGTAGTACATAACTCACTAATATGTACGAAGATCGTTGATAACGACATTTGGATCTCTGGATTTTGCCGATACGATCACCAGATCTAACACCTTTAGATTCTTACTTCTTATCATATACCTACTAACGTCTGTGATCGGTCATCATTTAAGGCACTCTAAGACACTGAGTTTTTTGTTATTTCAGTATTACATATAATATATTCGCAGAATGAACGCAAAAAAATACAAAAAAATTAATATTTCAGAAACGATCAAAGATATGTATGGAACATACCTGATCAATGAAACTTATTGACAGTTGAATTCGACAATTTGATAATATACAGAGTGTTCTATTGAATTATAGTTTGCTAGTATTGACACGAACGGAGACGTATTTTCAAAGTACACTGTACGGAAAAATATCCAAGCTTTCTCTAAAAGATAAACTTCCATACCTCATGTGAACAGTGCCTTTGTTGTATTACTTGATTTATGAAATATTGAATTTTCACCTTACCTTCACAAAAATTATTTCGATCTTTGAGCAGAGTTCAGAAATGTTATAACACATAGGATGTTCTATTCGAAGTTGGGGGATGAAAATACTTTCAAAGACAAAATAACAGCTTTCATAAAAATTTGGAAAACATGTCTTGTTTGGGTTTTCAAATACGTTTAATAATTGAAATATTAAAACAAAAAATTCAATGTCAGCCACATGTTGGTGAATTTTCAAATAAATTTGAATAAATTACACAGTGAAATTTTACAATGAGAATTATTAGTCATCATATTTAATTAGGTTATTTTTTATTCCTTGCATTTTATTTAATTTTGGATCACACCTGATTCTCCCTATAAAAAGTGATATTTTCTACCCGTTCAATGAATAGAGGTTAGGTTAAGATTCAATGTTTAGCTGTAGTTACAGTTTAATTCGATTCACTTTGAAGTCCATAGAATGCATCAAGAGTGAAGTCCAGAGTTTTTCATTTACACCTGTAAAATATGACCGTGCATTTTTTGTATCGAATTTAAGACACTTTTTGAGATATCGATCAAATAGTTTCGTAGTTCCTTTTGAATTTATTCATATTGGGTCACCTTCAGTCATCCAATCAACTAGTTTGATTCTATAAAAGTCGAAGAAAAGTGTATGTTTGCCGGAAGAGTAGGTTGATTATTGTAGGTTGTGCTGGTGTGTGCACCAGCACACACCAGCGGCGGCTCGTCATAGGAGGCAAGGGAGGCTTAGCCTCCCCATAAAATTTGAGGTTAATCATCGCAATAAATTAAAATATATTGACAAATAATTATGATTATTTTTTTCTAAAAATGCTTGGGTATCATTACTTTACCATTCATTTTTAATATAAATACATCATATACCCGAAAAAACATCACTCACTACGTAGTACGTACCACACTGTATCCTGCATCAACACACGTCAAACGCACCGCCAATGAACGAATAACGAATAAACCATCAACCCGACATAATAAATGCCATACGTTGCAAGGGAGCCAAGCCTCCGACCGCTTTAAAAAACACAAGCTCCGCGAGACCGAACCAACCAGCGATATACGCCCCGATTTGTAATTTTGTTGCGGAAATTATAGCGTTAGAAGAGGCTAGCCTCCAGTTGGTCTCCGTTAGTGTACGATTGCGTTTGTTTTTTATTTAATTATTCGGACGGGATGCCGTGACCGACGGGACTGGAAAATATTTCGGTGAATCGTTTTAGTATTACTTGATAATATTTGTTATTTGTGTATAAAACAGGCAGTATTGTACTATAGCAGTGCTTTTTGGTAACAAATTTTTAACGTGTTTTTAAAGTGTTCTCTTTCAATTTCAAGGTGTTTTCAGGTTTATTTATTTATTATGGATAAGTTGGACGAAATTAAAAAATATGACGATATAGTCTATTGGTTGCTGACAAATAATTTTAAGTCTTCATCTTATGATAATAAATTTTACATTATTAAAACTCTGGGAAGGCCTCAACCAAATTTGATTTCAATTAAAGCGTCAGATAATCGACAAAATCGAGGATTTAATATTAGTTGGTACGATAAATGCGATTGGTTAACCGGTCCCATTAAACGAGAAAAACTTTTTTGTTGGCCCTGTGTTTTATTTTTCGTACAAACCGAATACCAAACCTGGTCTACAACAGGATACTCCGATTTAAAAAAATTACCTAGTTCTACAGAAAGACATTTTAAATCTAAGGAGCATATATTTTCGTCTTGTAAATGAAAATTATTCAGCAAACAAATTATAGCAACAGCTTTAGATACAGCTCAAAAAGAGGCCATAATTTCTTTTAATAATCAGGGTAGGGAAAATCGGTCGAATTTAAAAAGACTTATCGATATTACGATTTATTTGGGTTCCCAAGAATTAGCTTTTTGCGGAACCGAATAAACCGAAGATTCGATTATTCGCGGCAATTACAAAAAACTTTTAATGTTATGCGGCAAATATGATTCACAATTTGGCACTTTTTTAAACGGTAGCGTTTTTTCGGGCACCTCAAAAACCGTCCAAAATGAGCTTATAGACAGTGTGGCATACATTATTAAGGAAAATATGAGCAAGGAGATTGAAAGTCTTTCTTATTTTGCATGGGAAATTGATGAAACTACCGATATTACCTGTACATCACAACTTTCAATCGTTTTTAGATATGTTTAAAAATAAAAAATTAAAAATGATTCATATTAAATAACTCAAAGACAACTCTTTTTCCTTGCTTTTCAATGGTCAGTTTTATACGTATAATTTTCGGCAATACACAATTTTTGTTTGCATTTATGCAAATATTACGTATTTTGCTTTAAACAGGTGCGGTACCCCAAAAAATTTTCGCGGACTTTTCTGTGTGTATATAGCCTTTATGACTTTAGCCTCCCCTGTTCTCCAATGCATGAGCCGTCACTGGCACACACCTAATTGATACCTGTATGAAATGTCTGAAAGTCATCGTCGATTAATAGTACTGCATTTGTGAATGACAAAGAGATCAGCATTTCTTTTACATTACAGCTATGAATGAGGTTTGGGTTCCTTGTTTTACTTAGGAATTTACTTCTCGGACTTGCCCTTACAACTAATCGTGCTCGTTCATCTTCGCTTTTAATCAATCGTATATATTTCAATCTGGATTAATGTGTCGGTTCTTGACCTGTACATATACTTGTCATTCCAACATCCTACTTTGCTGAATCCGTTATAATGACCTCGAAGAATTTAGCAAAATGAGAATCCGCTTGGGGTTCCATATGCATATGATATGCCAATAAAGCTATTAACGTATTTACAAAAAAATCTCTAGTGGAGAATTTACATTCGTATAGGTCCGATACTAGTAAAAAATGAGTGAATTACGTGAATTCTATCCCAACACCAAACCGTTATTTTTAACACCCCGACACGTGTTTCAATCACCAAGTGATCATCTTCGAGAGGAAGACTGAGTTTAATCTTCCTCTTGAAGATGATCACTTGGTGATTGAAACATGTGTCGAGGTGTTAAAAATAACGGTTCAATGTTGGGATAGAATTCACGTAATATGCATTACTACACCAAAAGTTTCAAACAGTGAATCACAAATTCATGTTCATGGTTACATATTCTTATTCCACTTCCTTGAAAAAGAATTGACCGAATTGGCCACATAAAAATATATTGTTTTAATTTGTTACTTATGTATACATAATTGCATATGCAAAATTGTTTTTGTGTTTTCCTCATTTCCCTTAATTGTGGAATACTTCAATAGTAAATTACTTATGAATAGTTTAAAAAAACTGTGTATCTTCCATTTACTAGTTATAAACCGAATCTTCCAAATTATTGTGTAATTTATATACCTATCAATGGGAATAAAATACAAATAAAATATTCTGAAACTGTAAAATATTCAGGTATTAAGCTGGACAGTAACCTTAAATGGAATGCGCACACGATGGACCTGACACAAAAATCAGATACTTGGTATATAAGTTTGAATTCTTTATGAAGATCCTTGACCTCAAACATCTGAAATAATGTATCATGCCTTATTCCAAACACGTTTGTCTTATGGCATAATCGCTTGGGGAGGAGTCACCAATAATCATCTCAAGAACGGTACAGAAATGGATAATAAAAATGATGATAAACAAACCTTATATCAACCCAAGCGATGATCTGTGTAAACAGGCAGAAATAATGACATTCGTCTTTGCCTTAACGCTGCTTCTTCACCAGCGAATGTTGAAGAATGTTGAAGACGATTGGACAAAGAAGCTATTCATATCTGGCTCCCAAGTAATATAGTGTTATTCCTTTCAATTTTAAACTATGTAATTATTTTTTTCCCGCTTAAGTCCAAAATAAAAACTTGGATTTTGAACACACCGAAAAAAACTACATCAACTAATTTATATCAAGAATTACTGACCAAAAATAATAAAATATACCGAGAAATGTTTTGTGTTTGTTTCCGAGTCATCTATTTATAGATTCTATCCAATATTACTATTCAATACTGAAAGTAAATGAATGTCATTTTAAAAGTATACTTTTTTTGCTCAACTGTGTTGTTTTTGTTAATTTTAAATCATTCATTGTCTATTTCAAAATCAATAACCAATACCCACGTACAGGCTTTGCCTTTTTGGGTTTTCTTTATTTATTTACAACACTGGTTATCACGATTGAAACGATTGAACTATAATCAATTATCTATTACGTGAATATTACTGTGTATTTTAACAATATATTTCTGTACTTTTTTCTTGGTAAAAAAATATTATTAATTTCTGTTTCAGAGAGAGTCCATTGGGTCAATTTTTGGTTATTTGTTGACATTGAATTAATCATATTTATTATTTGAATGTGGGATTATTTAAAAATTCTGAATAATGAACTACCAAGAGTTTTGAATTTTATAAAAACCTTCGCTATGATGAGTGATATTGTTCGTAGGAGCATTATCTATCGTTAGTTCATTTTGCATGGGAAAGCGTTAATTCAGTTGAATTTCTATTTTCTAGTATATTTTCAATGTTTTGTGCTATTTGTCTGCGATTTCAAACTTCCACAATTTGAAAAATGAAGCTAAATCAACAAATAATCTCCCAGACTGCAATAGGTAATTTTTAAACAGAAAACTTTACCCCAAATATATACTCTGCGTATGAAGGATCTAACTGGTCAGTAACAAAAAATGGAAATCAATATACTTTGCTTTCTTGGGGATGGTTTACACTTTGGAAAGTAATTCCTCTTCCGTTCGCAAACTTGAAAAAATATTGGTGAAAAAAGAAAACTAAGTATATAGTTATAGTTTCATTATTTCGTCAGTTATTCAATTTGTGGGTAAAATTTGGAAATACGACAAGTTACTGACTGATTGAGCAGTTCAGTGATTTATTCTACAGAGTAAATTTTCGTGGTTAACTTGGTTTGCCCTTTGTTACAATTAAGAAGATGCTCTGTAGATTTAGAATCACGAAACATAGAATCCTTTCGAAAAACATTTTCAGTGAAGTGTTGTTGATATTATTTTATTAAGTGGCAAAATTCAGAAACATGTATCCACACGTTCATTCTTACCATGTATTGCTTATATCATCAATTCCACATATTAGTCCATTCCAAACGATATCACTCCTTCAGAAGTTGCATGATAAATAAACATTTATTACACTAAGCAAGTTTTGTATAAACACATGATGTTATAACACGTCCACGATAATTATATATTAGTTAATCTGACACTTCGCCCAAGGTAGGAGGAACAAAATGCTCTACATGCGATGACAATTCGTGATAAACTGAACCAAAATTCATTGATATCTCATTTGGTTTTAATGAATTATTGATGGTATCGTGAGCAGGTTTTTCCGAATTACCATTACACAGAATCTGGTTTTCGGTATGAATAGAATGCTATTAGTCCGAGAGCTAGCTTTCTATTTTTGCAAGATATTAATACCTCTAAGCGAGTTTAGCCCAAGTTATACATGAAATTCAGAAAATCAAGTCTGTATTGGCAGTTATTTCAAAATTTACTTAAAAAAATATTTGTCAAGTTATAGGCAAAATAAAATGAAAATACTATAATGTTCAGCAGTCATTTCAGTTCAAAGCAAGCTGATGTATGGCCATTTCAATATGCCACGCAGTTGTCAAAATCTAAAATTATTAGAAACTGTTGACAGAAGTTACACAATTCAAGCCTCCACATTTTTTAGACTACCTTGGACGTTATGACCGACATACAAATAAAATACTTTGAAACGCAGTTTTTGACATTTTCCAACGAGTCAAAGATAGTCACCAAATGAAGGTGGTTACTTTACTTACAGATTGAAATAAACGTGATTGGGAAAATGTATAGAATTGAATGGAAGTATGGAATTGAATTGAACTAATCTGGTTCAATTTCAGCGGCTTTGTGGATAGATATCTTTGTTTTTATTAACAGGGTAATATTCGGACTACTGCAGATCAACAATTCAATAAACAATTTATTGGAAACTGGGTCAAAGGGACTTTATTTTGGTCGTCTCTTCCAATACAGCAAAAAAGGATTTGAATCTAGTATTTTCATTTACTTGAAACATATTTCTTGGTTCAAGTAATAATTGCTTCACCATAAGATATTTGTATTGAATTTTATGAATTGAATCATTCCAATTGAATTCTCTAGCGTAGAATAAATCCAAAACAAGCAGGATTACCAATCACCAGAAATTGCATTTCTGGTGATAGGGAAAAGAGCTTGTTTTAGAAGTAAATTAAGAGTACATTTGTAATCAAATTTTGCTAATTATTCAAATGAACGCATTTATTTATTTCAGTCTAAACTTTGAAATATCAATCTGATAAGAATATTGATCCACTTAGTTATTTATTATTATTTGTTTTGAATGTAATGTACGTCAAACAACTTGATTTAAAAAAAATTGTTTGCTTTCAATATTTTCGATGTTCTTTTCTATTCTGTATTAAACTTTATGAAGTAGATATTCTGAAGTCATATTTATAAAACATAATATTACAAACACAATATTATATCTGCAAAAGACTTTTGCAACAATAGTCATTCTCATGGATATAAGATAAAGAAAATAATTTTTATCTGATTTCTACTAAGTTTTATATTTGTTACGACCGGTTACGATTTGTTAAACCATTTTCAAGTAAACTAACGGATTTTGACAAACAAGTCCATAAATATACAATGATACAGTCAATGTGCTTTTGGTACCTGCAATAGGTACGTGAAATAACTAATTTCACCTGAAATATCGATACCAATACTAAAACAACAACTATTCAATTTTTATGACATATCAAAATTACCAACTGTTGAACCAAAAACCCTACTTGTGTATTTTTCCATCTAACAATGTATCCTAAACTAGTTGTCAAAATTCACAAATTCAAAAAGGGGGTCCTATACTCTGTCCATATAAACTACTGAGTACTTCAAAACATCATCGTGATCTCCCAGGAAAGGCTGCTTGTACAGAGTCGCACCACAGTAGAATAATGCAAACAGTAGGCTCTCTTACCACGTGATCCGCCCGATTTGCCGGGGACCTTCAACCGTTCTTAGGATAAGATTCTCATCCAACGCGATCAGTGCTGTAGAATCGAAGGATTCGACGGTCCCACGGGCATCTGATTAGCTGTAATAAACGGTGGGAAACTAATATTGTGTTCAGTTTATTCGCTGTTGTTATTATTGTTTTCAGTTAACGTTAGTTTTTTGTAGTACGGAATAAGTAACTTACCACAAAATCTTCTATAATATCCATAACTTTCGTTTTTATATGAGCGCACGCCTATGGTGAAAGAAGGAAATTGGCTACGCACTTCGTTTGAGGTCACCGAAAACTTCGTGAATTTATGAATGGAAGTAGTGGGAGTGGACTTACTGGTTGATTTTCACTGTGGTCGCAAGGAACGACTATAATTTTATTTTATTTTTTTTAATAATATGCGGTTGGGTATAGAAAAATTTTCAGGTAGAGTGTAGGGACACAAATTAGCAGTTTGTTCAACCCTATCAGTACTTGACATTTTAAAAATTTTAAACTTTGAAATACCGTATATATACACATTACATGGATATTGTTCAGTTGGTCATTGAGGGTTTTGGAATTGGAGTTTCAATACAATTCATTCATTTCCAGTGAATGTGAGAAGCCGTAGAAGTTGAATATCGCTTATTAAATATTAATATGAAAATGGACAATTTTTCAGTGTGTACGTCACTACATTACATTTACTCGCGTTCAAAGGAAGATTGTTGCGAAACACCATTGTTAAACACGTTCCAGAGGAATATGCAGATACCCGAGGTATCTGCATATTTCACAGACTTGAAGCCATTGAATACAACATACTTACGCCTGTCAGTGAAGTATGATACAAAAAGTTGGATCAGAGTCAGAGAAAAGCCGTACCTGTACAATTTCGATAGCAGTAATCCGTGATCAAGTCTGTCGAACACCTGTCGAATGAAAGGTTATGGTTTTTTATAACGGGGCAACTGAATACATTGAAAATAACTATTCAGATAAATATTTTGTTGATGCCTGTTTAATCAGAGTAACTGAGCTTGCTGACTATATCATTTAAACCAGTTCCGTTTTGTATTGCCTGATTACACATCTAGATAATTAGTAGGTACGTTTATTGTTACTTACTGAATACGAAGATTTCACTTGGACTAATCTACATGTACCTACTGGGTAATAAAATATGATAATTTCGTCCTAAAGTACAAAATACAATAGTTTTCTAGATAATCAGACCTTTTTATCAGGAACAGAGCATTCATTATATTTTATTTCGAAATGAACAAATGGAATTTGCTAGTTTTTTTCCATTAGCTCTGTCTAGTTTTTCTATTAGGGGGTTAGATATATAAAACATTCTCATAAAGAAAAGAATACAAAACCTAAAACAAAACGTATATTATTATTATATATACTTTATTGTCAAAAAAATCTTGTTGACAAAGATATAGGTATGAATTTGAGAAAGATTTTCATTTTGTTAAATAATCCACTAACAATAGAAATAAGTCAAAATTTCTCTGTATAAAAGACGTATCTGTTCAGTGGCACATTTTACCTTTTTCTACGAATAGATTCGCAATTTCAGAACATATTCCAATTCATGTATAATGCAAGTATATCTGTAGATATTATGATCTGAATGTAGTGCAAATTGATCAATATATAGATTATCCTGTCTAGACTATTTAGACACTAATAGTTCTAAGTTATTTCAGTAATGTCGTATAAAGTTGAGAAGATGGTTCTGCATTTTCTTTCTGGAATATTGTTTTTAACATGTGCAGAGTTGGGTATCTTTCGTCATTGTCTCATTATTTGAACTGTCGCTTGCTGCTTCTTACGTGTTAGATAAGCTTACGGAATAATGAGCAAATTCAGTTATCAGGTATCTGCTTTCACGAGCTCGCCGCTGGATACGAGAATAAAAGGATCATTCGTGGTGCTGTTGTTCCTTAACCGAGTTTGAGGGTAGAATAAACCAACTCAGCATCAACTTTTCTACCTACCTTGGACATCTTCAAATTTCATTAGAATATAAAATTCAAATGGATCATTCGATGTGATCAGATTTAAAACAAAATTTTTGAACTTGAGAATTTCTTTGCCTCATGTAACGATCTGAATTTTTTTCAAGGGCAAAACACAAGCACTACAGGAAAATCCTTAAGGCGCTCTCAGAGCGGTGCCTGTGCGAAAGTAGCGATTCACATTGGATTTGAATCGCTGGAGATTGAATGCATATGGAAAAACTTTCTCAGAATGTTCATTCCACATAAACACAGTTCTCCAGATAAAATAATTCTCAAACAGTGAAGTTCGAAGTATACTGAGTTGAACCTCAAAACGATGAGCAGCCACGCTCCGTCGCGTATTTCTGATATGTACCACTCTTGGTGGAATCAAATAGGTCAGGTCACTTGAACACCTCCCGTGAAAGTATCTATAGAAGAGAGACAAATATCTCTAACCTTTTTTCGATGTTCCAGGCTATCAAGGTTGCACGAGATATTCGCGTCCCCAATCAGGCGGATGGTTCTTTTCTGGATGGAATCTAGCATATTCAGGGTATGTTTGGGGGGCAGAGATCCATACATGAGAACAATACTCCAAAGAAGGTCTGATCGGAGCTTTATAAAGCATCAAACGATGCTGAGGTGTGTATAGTTTTCTGGTTCGGAACAGTGTTCCAAGCTTTTGAGAAGCATCCTTTGCAATTCCAGCGATATGATTGTGCCAAAACATATCGATATGCATTTTAACTCCCAACAAACTTATCGAAGCAGAAAGCGGAATTATCTGACCTGACTTTATTATATCCGGTTCGGAGACACTTATCTTCTTGGAGAAAACCGATACCTGGGTTTTTATGGCTTTGAATTGAACCCGGTTACTTTCACTCCAATTCAAAATCACTTCTAGATCCTCATTAAGATATACAACCTCCTGCTGCCGGTGAAGATATGCCGTCGTAGCCGATGTCCTGGAATCCAAATGGAATGACGAGACAAGTGTGCTGTCGTCAGCAAAGCAATATATTGGATTCTTGATTTTTTTCAATAAGTCATTGATATACAATAAAAAGAGGGTTGGAGACAATATGAATCCCTGGGGAACACCAGCGTTGTTGGTGAAATTATTCGAGAGATATCCTTCGACGGCCATTTGCAGGGAAAGATGAATATAACATGATACATTTTTGTCACTTAACAGACTGCAGATTTTTTCAATCAGGGTAAATTAAATAAACAAAATTTCTGTTGGTGATTTGAAGGAGGGACTAAAGGGTCAAAAAAATTTCAAAATATAGTTAAACTGAGAAAATTCTGACGATACAACTCAAAAAGTCCAAGTAGTCTAAATAATCAACACTTCAAGTGATTTATTGATGAACTGTTAATATCATAACAATTATTTCGATAATGATAAGTTGATCAAATTATTTTTCAAAGTGTAAAAAAAGTGGTTTTGAAACAATAATCAGGAATAGAAGGAATTATGAATGATTCAGGGTATGATTTGGAATGAAATTAAAAAATATTCCTCATGTCCCATATGTTTAGATTTGGCTAATAATGTTTTTTGATTAATATATTAATATCAAAGATGGAACTTCCTTCATTCTAAAGTATCAAAAGATCAGCAACTGAGGGAATAGAAATGGAGAAGTAAAAAATCAATATCCAAATATTCATTAGTAAGAAAGAATACAAATTGTGAAATTCAATTCTAGACAGTCTTCAATACCGCAACGACTACCAATGATAATTCTTTATTTTTATCATTCATTCAGTTACTGCTAAAAGCAGTAGTTCGAGTATCCTCACTTTTCAGTAATACATGTATGAGAATACATATTTTGTTGAGTTTATTGATTCGTTAGAGAATTATTTCAGTCATCTATTTCCACAACTTTGGGTGATTCAAAAAATTGTGAAAGAGCAATGTTCAACAATCACATTTCTTAATCCTTCATCTCATAGACGTGAAGATGGAAAGCTTTGCCATAGAGTGTACAGGAAACCAACATAAACAGATTGGTACCTGAATATGAACACAGGTTCAACAATGTACTGTGAACAACAAAACTCTGCTATTCTTATATTTTGGAAAACAAAGTAATGTAAACAATTTAATAAGTCTATTAATTAAAACAAATTACTCATTACAATAAAAAGGATAAAAAATACAATAAATTTGTAAACGATACTAAAATGACAATCAGAAAGATGATGTATTCAAATATGAGGGAGTATACATCAAATTGAGATTGACCTATGTATCAGATAAAAAAATTTACAGTAATACTGAATTTTTATTTACAAAAATAATATAGTCTGATATACAAAAGTTAATTTTCTCGATTAGATTTAGGATGTACTTACAAAGTTACAAACATTCTAATCTTATACATCATGGTCAAATAATAATAAAAAAGAAATTCAACCTATGAATACACCGAAAGTAACGAAAATAGAGCATGTTTATGAAAAACGTCACTAATACAGTTCACTCGGGGATTTTCACTAAAGATGGTTTTCAAAATCACCTCACAATAGCTTATTCAAACAGAAACAATAATTTTTCCAAGTTTACTACATTAGATGATATTCAGAAATATCCAAATAAATACTAATAACTAAATAATAATAATAATCTACTTGATAATAGACAAAATCCAGTAGTAAAATTTACTGGCGTCTGTAAAAACAACGAAGTTTGTCAAATCACAAGTCCTTGCGTGACTGTCTGAGATTGAAGTCGATACCAGTCCTCTCAGCATCCATCTTTCTTCCTGCTTCATAGTAAACCCACTTCCACTGTCTCCGTTGCACGGTCCTGACCCATCACGAAGCCCTGTTCAGAAATATCGTAAAGGTTATCTGAGTATTAAAATGACACATTGTGATCAGTTTGCTAACAAAAAACATACGCACATTTCACGTCATGCGAAGTAAGTGCGACTAGTGCAGTTCGATGTTTATCAAAAGATACAGAACGATGAAAATATAAGGAGTGACCCAGTGAAGATCAAATCGTTAGGTGTAATTGATGAAATTATTATATTGTAATTAAAATATGCACTAACCTGCACAAAATGTTCTGTTAGATGTGATGTACTGGAATTGATACGAACTTCTTAAACATGCTTCTTGGCTCACAACTGGTAACTGGATCTGCTTAGGTTCCGCAGTCATGAGATCACCATTTTCGTCTCTACCCCATCCAACCACTGTTCCTTGCTTTCCTGTAAATTTGGAATACTTTGCTTTACAAGCGAAATGAAATAAGTAATGGCTTTAGAACATATTTGAAATCATGTCGAAAAATCTTACAGTGCCGTAAAGAAAAGCATTCAAAACTCTTAGACGGCCACAGAGATAATCTGCAAATTGAAACACTACTAGAATATTTCAACAAAATCTGATTGGAACTTTTTTAATTCGATATCAACATTTTCCCAGTATTTCCGGAACTATCTCATTACTATCATATGCATTTTAATTACCACTATTATCATCTCTTTTTTCAACCGAAGTTTAAGCCTGTCTCCAAAGCCCTGAGATGAATTCGGGAGGGAGCGTTAGCATCATCAACCAATGAACTTGCAGACGCAAGAGCTAAGAATGACAGCCTTCTACATTTTCAACGGAAGCTGAAAACTGCATAACGAATATCATCTTTCTTTGATGATCCAGGTCATTAGCTTGTATGAGCGTGAGGGTCAGGAGCATTTATTATTGATACTATTATTATTATTAGAAGAGGTTGGGCTGGACAGATCCTGTCTATGATACATTTAGAGGGCCCGTCAGCATTATCAACCAATTACCCCTCCCCACGCCTTGAGGTAAGTTTTCATTGGGTCAGCGAATCACGTGCCCTAAGGAGTACGCAATGAGCCAAGTGAATATTCTGCATTCGTCCTGATGCATCCATCCAGTACCTGTTCTCGGGGGAAGTACAAACGTGGAACGGACGATTTGAGATGCAAACTCCTATGGAGATGCACTATTTCTCGGGTCTCTACGTCTAAAACCGTTCCTCCCGAGTTCATTTAACTACTAAAGGAGTGGACTGAGATCAGATATTCAGTTTCGCGACAGTTCCGATGTTCAGATCTGTCGAAGTTTGTGCTGATACTTGCCGACAAATTTTCCTCCGTGGCTACCTCTTGTATGTGGTGTTGATACCATTCCTCGCGACTCCAGTTCACTACTTCAAAGGAGCAGAGCAAGATCTGAATGACTAGCTAATTTGTAGCAGTACATTTGTTCTCTCCCTACAGTACCGATGTTCAAATCTGTCGAAGTTTGTGCTTCGGAGATTTTCAAAGGGGGTACCTCTTGTGTGCAGTGTTGTTCCACGTTGAGGTAAGTATAAGTAAGTATAAATCCAGATGATACAGGGTACTTCCGTTTATGAGCCACAGTTCAACTGTGGTTCGGGGATATACCTCTAAGTATTTCTGAGTGCAACAAGTAATGGCAATGGGCTCTGGGTTCTAACATAACCAAATGTTATGGTGAAGCGGGTCCGCCAGAGGCATCCCACTATTTGTAGGATCATGCGATGTTGTATCAAATATCTGCAGGTAATCGATTCAGGCCTTAGATAGGTTACAAATATACTGTTTCGAGTTCTGTGTTATAAATTTGTTGCAGAGCCGGGTCTCTTTACATCCAGTGACTTCTCTATTTGGTCCTCTCCTCATATTTTCGTTAGAATATACGATCAACTGCAGTACTTAATGCACTACGAGAAAACTACTGTGTTAGCGAAACATGGCGAGATGGCGGTAGGTACTTGCTAATTATTCCACCAATAAGTTTTCAACTTATCTGGGCCTGGTACCAAATCTCTTGAAACCCAAAGGGGCTTTTCGAACGTCATCAGGGGTTATTGGGTTGCGAAGTTCATTGAGCTCAGGCTTTCGAACTGTGCTAGGGCTGCAGTATCTAGATTGAGTGGCTGCGAGTGTTCCAGAGGGATTCCACCTGATCAGTGTTCGGCAGATTGGAATAAGCGAAATATGGGGTTTTCCGCGATACTTATCACTTGCCTTACTAGTGAATAGCCACTGACATTCGTATTTTATCAAGGCAGTGATGTTTGGTGATCAGTAGTAAAGTGGTCGTCAGCAGCTATTTCCAGTAAAGCGGGCGTTAGCGGCTTATTGACCGCCCTAATTGGATACGAGTCACGTGTTTCCTAGACAACTTGGTCTTAGCCTTCATCTGAAGTTTTGAGCGGAAAAACGGCATGCTCTGCAGGTGTCTCCCAATACAGAGCATGTATTTTTGATCACTACCTTCTTAGCGCCCACTAGAAGCGTCCGTTATCAGGGTTGTCATCGTTAGGCAAGTCGTTGTTCTAGGCATCACCACCTTACCTTTAACCCCACCAAGCGAATCGGTGGTGGTGCCCCCTTCCTTGTATTTTAGAGTAGTGATCTGCCTCTCGGGTATGTCTAGGCTGCCGGTCCGGTTTTATACTAGTTGCTCAGATAAGTAGTGGCACAATTAACAAAGGCCACAGCTCGCCATCGCTACTTATTCATTATTATTGTTATTATCACTTCACTATTATGAAGAGAAAATATTTCATTTTTGTACGTTAATAATGAATAAAATATCATTGATCACAAAACTGTTTGCGAGGCTTTATGTGTAACTATTATAGTTGAGTGACAGTAACTACTTTTTGTTCAAATTAGTCCATCAAAACGCGGATAGAATTGAATTCAAACTTTTTGTTAACAAGCTACGACAGATATGAGAGCCGTGGACTTCAACTGTTTCACGATAGAATTCTAACTCGAAATTTCACTCGTGCGAGACCGTGATGGATCGCTACTGATAAGATAAAACGGGTACTTTTCATCTTCAACATGGTGGTGAATGACCGTGCCGACAACGACCATCCACAAGAAAAGAAACGTGTGCGCTATTGTTGGAGATAGAAGTGAATGTTGTGTGTAGGTATTGCAGTATTGATTGCCGTTGATGTATATATGGAATCAAGACTGATGCCTGCGCCGGTATCCAGGCCGGATGTCAACTGACAAAATCGTCAGTGCCAGAGAAAAAGCAACTTAATGGAAGAAAAAAAAAGTGTGGATGAGAATAGAATTAATGTATCTCTTTCGGAAAAAACGTATCAACTTACCGACAATTTTCTCTAGTTCTGAATCACTACTCCAAAGACATACAGGTCTTATGTATTCATTAAACTCCACCCTTCCACTGAGTACTAATATTGCTATGTCGGCGTCACTAGAGAAGTCTTTATAATCAGGATGAATGTGAATGGATTCAGGTTCTATTATTTTTTCTCCGTAAGATGGTATCCATTTCTGGATATTCAGTTTTCCTAAGATGACGAGGAGTTCACTGGTCCGGAGTATTTTGTTTTCCTTCATTGTACAGTGAGCAGCTGTAAAAAATGAAAATTGAATAATGATTCAACATCAAAGTTCAAAATTAATGTGAGAAAGACTGTTATTGTTTCCTGTCTTTATTCCAATCTTGAAGAGATATAGGTATCGGTCCGAAAACTTGGGACTTGATTATCGACGATGTTACTTTATCAAAATGTAATTGTTATTGTTCATCTAATTTTTTGATAAACTGCTTCAAGATGAAGCTAGCAATTCTAATATGCCCCTCATAAACGTCTACTCTCAGATCATGCTTTATTGCACTTTGCAGAGATAGTGACCCATTGGATATTTTTCTGAAAACCGGTTTTGATAGAGAATGATCGGTTGGGTCGATTGCTTTCTAGATCGAATACTTTTATCAATAGGCATAATATAGGTATAATTAACAGTAAAATACTTGCAATGAGAAAACTGATACTAGGAATTCAGTCAATGATAATAACTTAATGACTCTTATTGTGGAAAGCAATGGTTCGTAATGGACGTAAAAGATTCAATTGCAGGATTCATTTTCAGTCATCTCCTGATGATAAATAACTTTTTTAACGAAACATGTTGTTCTAGTATGGAAGAAATGGTTTCAATGAATTCGGTGATAATACTGCAAGAAAAAGAATCTTTTCGGAATTGAATCAGTATTTTTACCTGTAACTACATGTCTATCGGATACTAGAGAAGCACCACATAAGAAATACGTCCCAGCTGGTTTCACTCCAAAGATCGCAGCAAGCCAAGGAAATGCTCCTCTAGGTACATCCTTTCCATTTATCATCAATGTATTTGTAGTTATTGGTTTTCCACAAATACTTTGGTATGATTTACTGGTATTAATACTGTTTTTGGGAACTTGAGGTTTGAAATCCCCATAGACATTCTGCTGGAACACCAGATTGGCAGTATCAATGGGAGACTGAGTACTAGTCAGTTTGTATGGGACTTCTGTAATTGAAAATATGTTAATTAGTGTTTAGGGTTAAGATGGCCGTTCTATTCGTTACATTATCATTCAAAAGCAGTAGGGTTTTCATATTTATTGAAACAGGAAATCGATATTTTATTGTTATTTTCATTTATAAAAAACGTTTTGTAAGCAGTGGATTCAAACTACTATGATTTTAAATTATCAAGAAAGTCATGAACAATGTTCAGAGTAAAGGGAGAAGTAACTTCCCACGTATTTTTTGATAAATCACTTCCAAATGACAATTTATTTGAATTTCCACTCTAATATAAAAACAATTAAATTCAGTTTCTAACTGTGAGATGTCACTATCGAATAATACCATTATAAAATGTTCCCAGGGTGATTTCGTTGCAAGCCACTTTTTTTATCTAAGATTTATGAAATGGACTGTGGATCTATATCGCACACTACAGATATCACGGTTCCTTCAAAAACATCTAGAGGCGTTATAACAGGTGATGTACCCGTGGGTAGATCACCTGGAGACACGGCCAGGGGACTGGGAGCCCTGTCCGGGGCTCCCGGGGCGCATTTGCGGCGCCTAGACCAAAAGGAGAAAGAGAGCGATAGAGGCAGGAGTGGCAGCAAGTATAAGTGCATCCTTCTTTTCCCCCACTCCACCTTCAACACCAAGGGCACATCCTGTGGCAGGCGCCAAGAACTCCGGTAAAGACCGACTGCCCCTGTAGGAAAGCTCCCTCACTTGTGCACCTCCACGGAGGAAACCCCAAGAAAATTGAAGAAGCCGCGCAACGACAATAATGTCGCTGCACCTTCCAAAACCTTCACGAAGGCCGCCGTGAGACACCTCAAGGTTGCCAAAGAGAGTGTGTGTTCGGCGAGTCTTGGCCTTCACCTGCCGATATAAAGGAGATGTCTCCTAGTGATCTGTCTATCTTCCTGGAACGGTGCCCTAGGAGGATAACTGCTCGAGAGTATGTACAATGGGTCACATGTGGCCTAAGTGCTGTGGGTCTACACTCACCCTCCCTACTCTACAGATACAGAACAGGTGATCTAGTAGGCCATTATAATTCACCACGTTTTCTCTTCTACCGATTTTGATAATCGATAAATCCAAATGAGTTTTCAACTGATGATTAATTTCAGTAAAACAAATTACCTTCTCATTACGAATTGTTGGTTTGCAAGTATTTAGATTATGATCATCCAGAACGTTCGATAGGCAAACGTGTTTTCTTAGAAAGGAAGGCTAGATCACTTGACATGACGATTTTAGTTGTTTTTAAAGTGTTACATGACATCTGAGTTGTACGATATCAACCGTAGTTCATTTCAGAACTCGTAAATGAGAAAAGTTATGTTTGAATAAATTTGTCCCAGAAACATTAAAATGAAAAAGTTAAAATCGTGAAGAGATTCCATTATTGCCAGTAAGTGAATAGTTAAAAAACTATATATGTCTCCCTAACCAGGATTAACGTGATATAATATTTCAAGATGCGATTTCTAGCACGGGTTGGACGATAGGAAGTGAAAATTAATCGTCCGGCCTCGCGGCTTGAACCACCGGTTCACACAGCGGTCGATTGAGTGAGTGGACCAAACCACCCACGCCGTCACTATTCATTCCAATAATTTTGAATGACTTTTAATCAATCATCGTTTTCAGATAGGGGTCCATTCATAACACACTGGCACACTGGGCGCAGATTCGATACCTGCTCTATTCCGAGAATTTAAAATTTGTCTCAATGTGTGCATAGCATGCATCAGAGAAGATGTTCGAATAGCGGAGACTCATTCTTGTGATCGCACATTAAATAGTAACACCCCCGTCATTTCAGTGCAGAAATGATGGATTGAAAAATAAGTTGAAATAGGAAAAGTATTCTCTTTCATACTCACTAGATTGCTCGAACGTTTCTATAGGCTGATTTCTGTGCGTTGAAGTCGTTTCTGGAATTGGATGGATTTCCGGACGTCGATGGAAGTTAAAAAACACATTTTTCCGGAAAGGTGGTTCAGTTGCTGGATGATCTCTGTGGTTTTTGTCTGCGAAATAATTCGAAATAAATGTCTCCATTTGTCTTGACAGCTATGATTCACAAGAAAAGAAAATTTCTTCATTTTTCCAATCTCCTGATTAGAATTCATCAATATTAGATTTTTCGAAAAAGAATGAAAGCCATTCAATTTAAAATAAACTATTCACAAAGATACGCTAAACATGCAAAGAAGTTTACTTTAAGACACAAGAAATCCTTTCCAAAAGGACATTGAATTACATGAAAGAAAGATGCCTTTCGAAACATTACTTTTTTCATTCAGTGTGTTATGGAATTTGTTATGGAATTGAAACACATATCGTCCACAAGAACGCTACACAACGTGATATATAAAAAAGCATTGATATGAAATTACAATTTCAATATATATATATATATATATANATCATTTTTTTTTGCCATGGACACAACTGCCTTTGATGTACCTGTTCGCAAATCGGGTATGGGTGTTATTTCAGCACTGCCAAACTTTCTACACACTTCATCAGCTATTTCTGTCCTGTGTGCTACAGATTCATCAACATACCCTTCAGCGACCCTTGATGACTTCCAACCTCCATGTTTCTTTAGTCAAAGTGTAGCAGACGATCTTCGAAATGAATGACCTGTACATGAATTGGCATTTTCAAGTTGAAGAAAATTAGCCACTGCTTCAGATACATTATAAAACTGATTGCTACCCACAACCTGATTGATACATTTTCTATTGCGATATGCATAAAACAGGCGGCGATCCTTTGCTGCTGCCGGACGAAGGGCTATGTACATTCGGTAAAATTTAATATATTCTTCAGTAACTACAAATCTCCTGTTTACATCATTATCTGTTTGCTTGAGTTTCACAATTAATAACGTTCCCGAATCTTCAATATCATCTAATGTTACCTGGCTGATTTCACAAATTCGACAAGCTCCTGCTGACTTCAACATATCGTAATAATATGTTTTTTTCAATAATAAATCGTCGTTTTTTCCGTCACAGAAAAAATTGTGTATTATACACGGGAAAAATATTAGATTTTAGCTTTTGGTTTTTTGTCCCTCTCCGCTTCGCGTCGGGAGACAGCACAACTTCGAGCTAAAATCTAATATTTTTTCCCTTGTATATTAAATAACTATTTTTCGAAGAAATTTTTTGTGAATAGTCAATTTTTCTTGCTGTTTTTCGGGAAGTTATCCCCAATTGGGTGTTTTCGCAATAATTCTTTAGGTTTTGAAAATGAAAATCAGATCAGCAAAAACAATTACATATCGAAAAAAAAAGAAGTACTACCAAGGGTCTGTCAGACAAACACACCTAATAATTCGAAAGTCGCAATTTTTGCCACAATTCAAATAGAATCAGAACACAAATTGAGTTCGGAAGGTATATGGAATCCATGGCGATACAATACTGTATCTATGAAATATCCAAGAACTAAGATTGCCAGGGTTTGACTAGCTAGCTGAAGCAGCTACATTGTAACTTCTCAAAATAAACTTTTCATTACACTTTTAAATCTTTCTCAAGATTCTTCGTTGAGTTAGCATTGTTTATATTTTAGATCGTGAAAGGTTAATGTACCTCGCAAAAAAATCAAGAAAAATAAGTAGGTACTTTTAATACATAATTACACTCTCTAGAAGAAGCTTTATGATTGTTGGCATACCTTGAAATGTAAAACCATTTCCTGAATATCCATTTGGCGGGTCCTTGGATCCATAGTCATACGAATCAGATCCTTTCAAATCCAAACTTGATGGCTGGCTCTCTGCGGAGAAAATATTATTTGGCCTGAACGATTGAGGGATTGGTCGAGGTAAATCATCAAGTCTTAGTTGGTAGTACAGATGTATAGTGCTTATGAAAGGCACCAAATTAACTGAAACGAGTAACAAAAAAACAAACATTGATGTGTAATTCTCTGATGAATAAAGCAGAATAATGCACACCATTACTTTTTTTAATAACTTACGAGAACTGCGAGTACGGCAAACGACATAATTGTCGATCGAAGGTAACTCTGTTAGAGGCATACAATTAATTCATTATTATGCGTTTGAAGAAGCAAACACTCATTTTTATAATACAATTCTGAATTTAACAATATGGGTGATTCTTTTTATCGAATTTTGATTAACAGTTCAGCAGATTCGAACTTGAAGAAGACCAGCCGAGCATTTTATATCGTTTTTTTTTTCAGATAATTATTAATGTTCTAACAAAATATTATTCTTGGTCCACGCCATAAACTCAAAAAAAGTAATCATGCCTTCATTTTCAAGATGACGAAGACGTTGACGTGTTTTAATTAAAAAAAAATTGCGGCCGATACGAAATGCTGGATTCGATGCTATACTTACTATATACGAGTATTACAAGGGATAACATGTACTCACATGGAACTGCTGGTCCGAAACATATTAAATTTCCGTTAGCCAATATTTTGGTAATTTTTGGAGGAATGTTGATCCAAACTGGGAAAAATATTTTGAATAACACTGGCCGGTTATTGAGGATATCTTGAATGATTTCACTTTTGGATTTTGCTATTTCAATATGGCCATTGTAACCCTGAAAATGCATCTATTATGAATTACATTTTTTATGGATATGGGTAAAGTTCAAGCACTGCAGAAAAAATCTTGAAATGCTTTAAAAGCGAATAACTTACAATTTGAATTGCTGTGTTTTATATTCATTCGAAATTATCCTCTACGTGGTCATCTAAATTGTATTTTAAGTAATATTAAGATTGAGAACTGAATGAATCAATCCCCTGAATACTATGGGAAAACCCAGGAATACTTACTGGGGTCTGATAATCCGATTATAATAAAGTCGTTGCTGAAATATTGACCCTTTGGGAAATTAACCAATTCTCTTAACAACTAAGTATTTAAAAAAATGGTAATATCTTATAAAATTTAACATTGAAATTATAATTTCTTGTTTTTTTTTTCATATTTCATGTTCAACTTTTCACTATCTGAAAAATAAGCAATAGAGAATCTTCTGGAGTGTAACAAGGGCAAATTGAACAGTTCAACTCTGGAAAGATCATTTTAATGCTGAACATGAAACACTGAAGAGTCCAATTACTTAATGACTTGTGATGACAAATTTTTCTAATGAATTGAATAATCCATGGAAAAACTGAAATTTATAATCTTCGCTATTTTAGATGGTAACGTAAAGTAATCCCTTTCCGTTCATGAACTGTTCAATATATCGAATACATTTAGGCTGCAACAAAATAAGTCGATATTTTTCTTAACATAAATTTTTCTATGACAATAGATTTCATTCATATTCAATAATTGAAATATCTTCGAAACTGGCAAAGGTATAAAAATGAACATGTTTTTTTGTTTATCATGGAATTTCCTACAAAAAAGTTTCGTTAATTTTTGTCACACTGATAATTTCAAAAAAATTTGGTTTGAGCAAGGAAGTAGAAACCAAGAAAATGCACATAAGTAAGAATATAAGCCCTTGCAACTGAAGCCTGAAGTGGGGAAAGGGGTATGGGCGGCGAAGGCAGATCCGTACTTACACGAAGTTTAAATACAAACATAGAATCGTATGAATAGTTATGGATTTAATGTTAATAAAAGCCATATGAAGACAATAACACCTTTATTTAATTTTTATTGATACATATATAAAGTAAATGGTGAAAATAAGTTTTATATTCAATATAGATGTTATATTCACTTAAACAAATGTAAAAATTTATTGATCAATGGGAAGATTTCATTNGCTGTCGCCCACATACGAACGACAACTCTCAGAAGTTGAGAAACGTGTGCGAGCTAAGGACTAACGAGGTCTTACTTTTCAACGTGTGATTCCTAACACGGTTGCAGAATAATCCCAGCTTCAACCAAATAAGTTCTCTCGAAAAAAATATCTGGTCGAGGCGGGAATCGAAACCACGGCCTTCCGATCGTGAGTCGGGCGCACTACCACCGCGGCCAATTCCACAACATTGTTTGCCTTGAAAACAATCATTGAAAACATTCTTATCTATTTTCACCATAATTGATATATTTGAAATTTTACGTCTACTTGTGAGATTTCCAAATAATGTTTTACCGACTGCAATTTGATGTTGGTTATATTTTTTCAAATTTACCATTTAGGTATTTCACTACCTTCGTCGTTGGGTGCGAACTTTTCTTTGGAAATAGTTTTGTGATTAAATTGAATTTTTTTGGGCTATATTAGAACTTTTGGGTTCGATAACTTTTTGTCAATAATGTTTTTATAAATGAAACTATTTAAATCTCAAAGTAACCGACTGTTGGTGATCGCCTGTCATCGATATTTTTGTTTCTTCATAATATATATATATCCAACGAGAAAACATTGCCAAAGTTAAGTAAGACACACCTGTTCATCCTTGAAAACATCAACATCAATTAAATGATTTTTATATCATTCAGCATACAATTAATTTCTATTCCAACTAAACAATTACGAAATTATATATTTTCGTTTGCCTTTATTGGATATTTTATGGTTGGATGAAATTATTTCAAGAATGTATCTGAGTGGACCTAAATTCTTAGTCCAGTAGATATTTTTTCAAAACTGATGTTAATACGTTATGAAATCATTTTCTCAATAGCTTAATATACTTCTCATTGAATCCGAATCACACTTTCCAAAACTTCCTTATCGAACGTGCAGTTTATTTTCAGCTTTTCGGCTTAGATATGTGGCAAAATGTATTATAAAAATACTGATAGTACATGATAATAATGGTTTTATAATAACCAAAGAAGTGACCTACAATGGAAAAAATGCATTTATGTTCTCCGCTACAAAGTTAGGATGAGCCATCAATGGAAATAATTGTAATTACAAAGATGGACAAAAAATTAATTCCCATACATGATTTGGCCAAATGGCATTACAAATTAGGATGAGATTTTTCTGTAGTTTTTTCTGTTCCGAAAACATTGAAAATATTTCACTAGTCTATTTCATTGTCTAATAACTGTAGTATATAAAATGATTTGAAATCCCTGAAACAACTAAAAAGGAGAATTGAAAATGAATAGCTGAAAAATAACAATTATATTGAGCAGAAAAATAACCTGAAATGAAATAATAGTGAAATAAAATACAAGTAAAAATATAACAATTCAACAAAAAATGAAAATAAAGAAATGAAAATGAAAATAAAAATAAAAAGTTGAGAGATTCCAAGCCACGTTAGTTCACGACGTTTCGATTGTTAGTATCTACAATCGTCTTCGGGTGATGGCTGGACTGATTCCTCCGAGAGTTGACTATTTACGGGTCGTTCGAGTACTTTCACTTATCCCCGCTTTCTATTTTTTTCCCGCTCCACTGGTTCAGTGGGAAATGACCGTTTGGCAGGAGTTGGCCATTTTTCGCTTGATGATAGGTTTCCATATGTTGCGTATCTCAACGCTAGCTTGGCTGAATACGTTGTTGGACAACATGTATGCGGCTTTCTTGAATTTTCTCCTAGACCAATGTTCCTCTCTGTGTATATGATCTCAGCTTGGGACCACTCGATGTTGTGTTGATGGGTCCAAATATGGTCTGCTATTCCTGATTTGCTGATTTCCCCTCGCTGTGTATGTTTCTTGTGCTCGGCAATGCGAACATTCAATGGACTTTTAGTTTCACCCGAAAGCACGGTCTAATAGATTATTTGCTTTCGGGCTCTGTAATACGAAGGAAGGTCTCGAGAAGGAACTAGACATCATCAAAAATGATCTTCAAGGAAATGGCTACTCCAAAGCGATGGTAGAATAGACTTTGGCTAAAAGAAAGCAGGCACCTCGCAAGGAAGAGAAGCAGTCACAACCAGTGCTTGCACTTCCCTACATCAGAGGATTATCGGAGAGGATAAGAAGAATTGGTTTCAAGTACAACATCAGAACCTGTTTCAGATACGGTAACACTATCCGTAGAAGCCTCACGAAAACCAGGCCACCAAACGCGATCTGCGATTCCAAGGATTGAAAATAATCAGAAATCTTTGCAAAAACTGCAGTAATGTGTAAAACATTGTCCCTGAGATTTATTCTAAATTGACTCGAATTATTAGGATGAATAGACCTCTGAAGAAGCCAGCCACTCGGGCTGGCGAAACGTAGGATACAGTTCCAAACCACCACGGCTTTCAAACCCGGACGAAGATCGTAACACTGAAAATCTTGGCCGCGAAAACCTTAATCAATTTATCTAACTTTCGCATTGTTAAAAAATCCTCCATCATAAGGCGATAGAATCAGCATACAAACACAAGTGCCCTTCGTGGTATTAGCCAGGGGAGTACTTGTTTTTTTGATAGGCGGTAATCCATTCAACCTACTGCGTAGGTATATCCAAGACTGGCTTGAACGTTTAAAGTTCATTTCTTTGGATTTGTTTACTGCCAGTCTTCAAACATAGCCCACTGGGCTATGAGGAACCGGGCAAATTTCGGATATGCAGTTGGTTAGTACCTCGTCCACTAGATGGAGGGACATTTTATTGTTCGCTCCAACTTAGGAAGAGGAATGAAATACTCTGAAAGAATTCTGATTTTCAATTATGGAAGATCATTGACTTTAGGTCGATGATGGCTACTATCTGGCACTGACGAGTGGCTAATGAGTCCAAAACCGGTTTCATTTTTCATTATTCATGTGGTCTCCTACCACCTAGTAACGACTACATCCATTAACTTATCATTAGAAAAATATAGCTTTGAAATTTAAGGAAATTTGTAATTTAACCCGAAGACAATTGTAGATACTAACAATCGAAACGTCGTGAACTAACGTGGCTTGGAATCTCTTAACTTTTTATTTTTATTTTCATTTTTATTTTTCTACTTTTATTTTTTATTGAATCTTTCTATTTTTACTTGTATTTTATTTCACTATTATTTCATTTCAGATTATTTTTGCTTGATATAATTGTTATTTTCAACTATTCATTTTTAATTCTCCTTTTTAGTTGTTTCAGGGATTTCAAATCATTTTATATATAAGACAACGGAAGTCCGAACTAGTGAAATTCATCATGAAACATTGTCAATCACCTTCAAACAAACATTGAAAATAATTTTAGAAACTGGCAATCGAGACTTTTGGAATTGAAGTATATTATTCTCAATGTGAAATAAGTATTATGAATTAACAACTCACGTGAACAATATTTCCTACTGACAACTCGACGTCCAAATATATTGCGTTAGCATGTCTTCCAGGAACTAGTACCGATCCATAGAGGCCTTTCAATTGGTCATATGAATAAATAAAGACCCTGGGACAAGGGCTCGGTACAAACTCGATCTGCTCTTGCCCAGTAGATATCGTCAATACCAAAAATAATAAACTCAAACTTTTATAAGTCCTTCCAAACATTTTCAAGTTTCCTCATCACAGTGAACACAGTAAGTTGAAGTTTGTTTATACATATACTGTCGTTGTGGAATCTGCAACAAAGATCAATTAGGTTGAAAATTGAGTTTTCTAATCTACCAGGAAAAAAATTTGTTTACCAATAATAGATAAACTTTACTAGCAAGTAAAGTTTATCTATTATGCGTTATATTTAATTTTTGAAATAATCAGAGATATTTGCAAAAACTGCAATAATGTGTAAAACANAGACATTTTCAAAGGCGAAAATATAAAGGATTTCTAAGGTCATTAGAAATTTCATATGTCGTCATTTGTACATTAACATAAAAACATTGGGGATATAAACATTATGATTATATCAGAAAGGTATGAATAATATTTATAGAAGTTGCAAACATGCGTTTTTAATTTTTTGGTACATTTGGTAAAGAATTCATGAAATAAAAAAAAAATTTCAGTTCTCAAGACTCAATATCCTTTTTCTACAAAATCTATCTACAACTTTTTCCAAGCTGAGGGGTATAAAGCGTTGATAAAAAGTATTTTTACCAAATTCGAAAAAATAACTAATTTTTCCGAAAATCAAATATAATTTGTTCAAAAGAAAAATTGCAAATAGATAAAATTCTTACGCGTGAGCAAAAAAAAATATAATGCATATTGAGACAGCATATAAACAAAGTCCCTTTTCACGTCAGTCTGTCTATCTTTCCGAGCGCGATAAACTCAAGATTTTCATACGGTTTCCATCAACGGGCGGAGTGATTCAAGAGTAATGTTTAGGTGTATTATTTATGGATAATCAAAGTGAACAGAATACGGGCTAATAGGTCGCGGTCGAATGAAACCTGAAACGTTTCGTCTAATACTCCGGCAAACATCATCAGTGGGATATCCATTGACTGAGAGGATAAAGTTCAAATTATAAAATCATTCTTATCAGTCCGCAGTGTTACTTAATGGTTCTGATCGGTCCATGTTGGTGACAGATATGCTATTGGTGGGATGTCAATCGGAGTTGTATTCTAGTCTGCTCTGGCCTTCCTCAGTACTGAATACCACGCTCTATAGATCAGTATTCTTTCTTATTTTATGTTGGAATTGCTGGGATGCCTATATATCTCGTGCGTGCTAACGCGTCTAATCAGACAGAACGGCGGTTTTTTGTATTTTATTACGTGGTCTGTTTCCACTAGGACTTGTCCGGTTGCATAAGACAGCAGCCAACTTTGTGTTCTTGTATCCTGGTGTTGAGGCTGCGTTTGGTAGTCTTCATGTAAACTGGGCCACAGGAAGTTTGAATAGTTTTTAGATGTGGTCCGTGACTTTGTTTATGTAAAGCAAATAGACTACCACTTGCGCCAGTGCCTAAAATAGTATATTTGCCAATAACAAAACAATTTACTTCATATTGTCCTTCTTCTATAGGTCTACGAAAAAGTTCATGATTGGCATATGTCTTTTAACATACAGCTCACTTCACCCATTTGATCATTTCAAATGTTGGTGTGGTAATTGGAAAGAAATGCAGACGGATATCATATTAATTGAATGCGTTAATTGTCTTGAGGATTTCATGCACATAATTAATTTTCATAACATATATTTCAAATATTTATTTATCGCGAAAGGAAGTAGATTTTAGAGGCCTGGCGCTTCGATGCGACAAGGTCGTATTTGTGAATTGAAGGGATTATATTTTTAGGAGTGATTAATTTTTGGGAAAGAAAGTTTTTGGCTTTCTACTACTCCATCTTGATACAAAAAAAAGATGAGGGAATCTTCCAAAGAAAGGAAGGAAGTAATCAAGTATTTGTTTCGAAAGAATTTTTTCTTTCGTGTAATTCAATGTTTACANGTTTAAAGAAGCAAACACTCATTTTTATAATACAATTCTGAATTTAACAATAAGGGTGATTCTTTTTATCGAATTTTGATTAACAGTTCAGCAGATTCGAACTTGAAGAAGACCAGTCGAGCATTTTATATCGTTTTTTTTTCAGTGAAACACGTCACCGTAAACATAAATTCAAGTTTTTGGGGTATACCGACATTTTGAAAATAGGAACTATAAAGACTATACAAATTTTGTTTAAAGCTTATTTGGATAATATTATTATTATCCACACTTTTATTTACTAATTTTTTTTGTAACATTTATAATTTAAAAATAAATTCATGTTTGGAGTTTTCTTTATTTGTTGAGATGTTTTGGAAGCTTACAGCAATGCAACATATAGGTAAATGAGATACTTAAGTGTATACAAACTATATTAAACGGTTTTATTTATTGTTGCTTTCATCATGTCGTCATTTCCTGATATTCCACTAAAACTGAACTACTGAAAATGTCCTTGTAGGACGAAACTGCAGTGACATTAGTTACAAATACAAGTGGAATAAAAACAGGAACAGGAAGTTTCATTTCTATTTTTTTATGGTGNAACAAGTTCCATTATATGGATACAATCTATCTACCTCAACCTCTTATGATTTCTTCAACATGAACGAAGTGATACCATAGGGCGATAACAATAGCTGTCATTAGATATAAAATAATGACATGAAAAGTCTTTGCATATGCTCTCTTTCAACACAATTATCTTTGCCAAGCGAAATTTTTTGTAATATGTTTTTACATTCAAGTTATATTCATATTAGTTACACATGATATCACATTCTAGCCAAAAGAAAGGTCTTGCATGACATACCCACTCATTTTTCAATAATCGTTCAGCAAGCTATCGTCAAATTGAATATATTATCAAATCGTTTTCAAATTAATGAAAATTCAATTCCATAGAAATATGGTGTCATTTTCAAAGTAGACATATAAGTCGACAATCTCAAAATTTCCAACTTACGTGTCTTAGGGGATCAACTCGAAGCCCGAAAGACTTCATGTTATCGAAATTGTAGTCTTTCCTGACCTATAATTTTCCATAAAGACATGAGCACCAATATAGATCTCTCTCTAGAGTCCAAGGAGATAGAAAGAGAGAGAGTAGAACTACAAATGCAGAACTAATAACTGGCGACGGAAACTAACCTATCTCTCATTTGCCCATGATTAATCATTATTGAGAATATTGATTACTCATATTTTGCCATTTTTGATATAGTAACGAAATACTGTACTCTTGATTTGATTCTCGTGTGTTATGTGTATTTTTATAAAATGGTTAACCGTTCCAAAATTATTACAGTGATGAAAAGAAAAGGTACAAAGGTATCATACTACCTGA